CAGATGTTACTGAATGATGGTGGTAGGAGAGCCGAGAAGTGGTGATAGAGAGCAACGAGTATTTCGACTCTCCCACCTTTACCAGGGGAAATGAATGAAAGTGCAACCAGTGCTGGAAAGGGTGACCAGGGCAGCTGTGTCATTAAATACAAATACAATGTATTTATTTTGTATAGTACGCATTTGTGGACTAGAGCATTGGGCTGAATGAAACATGATGAAATTCAGTAAGAATAAATGTAAAACGTAAATTATACATGAGTTAAAAAAAACTTCACATGGAGAAGATGGGGGGAGATAGCAGTTTATCTGAAAACAACCCAGTGAACAAGACTTAAAAGAGCCAGGCAGGGGTTTTAGTGGGGTGCAGATTCAGTGAGACCACAATTAAGTGGCAGCCAAAAAAGTTCATACAATCTTGGGCTGCGTTAAGAGAGGACTAAGTTTCAGACAACAATTCCTTCATATTATGCTCTCATTCATAGTACTATGTTCCATTTGGGCACTGGAAGTTAAGAACGTTGATAAAGTAGATTGTCCAAAGGAGGGCGACCAGAACGGCTGGAGGCTTTGAATTCATGTCACAGGAGAATGAATTGAAAGACCTGAACATGTTGAGTTTGGGGAATGGAAGACTCAGAAAGGAATAACGGCTATCTTCAATTATTTGACAGCATGTCACACATAAACAGGATTAAGCTTATTCTGTTTGTCACAGGAGGTCAGAATTAAGAATAATGTGTGAAAGATGACAAAGAGCAAATTTAGGCTTGATGTCAGGAAAAACTTCCTGACAAATAGAGATGTCTAACATCAGAATGAGCTGCCTTATGAGAAGTGGGAGACTGCTCCTCCTGCGTCCTTAAGCAAGGCAGGATGAGATTTGTTGGGTTGTTATCTAGTGGAGATTATTTTAATAAGGAAGGCAGGATGGAACTAGAAGTCCTATGAGGTCCCATCCAGCTCTTGAGTTCTATGACAGGATGTCATCTCAAGGGCAAGGGCTGTTTCATTTTCATCTTTGCATCCCGGCAGCAGCACAGAACAAGGCACGTAGTAGATGCTTAATAAATGATGATCAGATTGTTTAAGCTCACACAGCTACTCCACAAACAGTAAAAACAGATTAGGCAGCAAAAACAACACTCAAATATGAGAGGGAGAGATGGGGAGAAAAGGGAGAAAAGGGAAGAAGGGGAAAAGAAGGGTGAAGCAGACAGAAGGGATGAAGAGGGAGAAGAGAAGGCACCAAAGGGGAAAAGGAGTGAAGGGGGAGAAAAATAAAAGAGAGGAAGGAATGATGGGGGAAGAAGGGATGAAAGGGGTGAAGAGGGAGAAGGGATCAAGGGGGAGAAGGGGTTGAAGAGCCAGAAAAAAAGGGCAAAAGGGGAGAAGAGGAGAATGAACTGAGCAGGGGAGAAGGGGTAAAGGGGGAAAAAAATAGAAGAGACAAAGGAGTAAAGGGGGAAGAAGGGACGAAGGGAGAGAAGAAGAGAAAGGGGGGAAGGGTAAAACGAGAAAAGAGTAGAAGGGACGAAGGAGAGGAGGAAGAAGGGATGAAGAGGGAGAAGAGTAGAAGGGGTAAAAGAGAAAAGGGGAAAGGGCAAGAGGAAGCAAAGAAGGGACGGACAAAGGGGGAAAAGAGGGGAAGGAACGCTGAGGAGAAAGCGTAGAGGGGGGAAGGGGATCACGGGGCAAAGGGGACGGAGGAAAGCGGATCGCGGGAGAAGAGATGAGAACAACGGGTGGAGGGGGAGAAGGAGGGTCTGGGAGGGGAAAGGTGGATGGGGAGAAAGGACGAAGGGGGAGAAAGAGGTGCGGGTCTGGAAGGTCACAGAAGGCGGATCTGCAGGTTCTATTCTCACTATATGACCCCCAAAGTTCCCCTTCGGGCACGTCCTCTCCCACCCCCCAACCTCTCCTCCTCAGGACCCCGGCCCAGCAGAGCCCCTGCCCCGCCCTTCCCCCCAACAGCTCACACTCACACACAGCGCCCCGCCTAGCGCCCCTCCCCCACCCCTCCCCCACGCCCAACCCCCTCCCGGGCCGGCTCCGCCCGGACTCGCCCGCACTCACATTCACACGCTCGCTTTCATCCTCTCGCACACGTACGTGCGCGCACACACATTCACTCCACTCACCAGCTCACCTGCACTAAGCTCGGTGAAGAAGTAAGGGCGGAAAGCCCTGCCCCGCCCCACTCACCTCTGAACGGCGCCTGCGCGGCCTGAGTCCAGAACTACGACTCCCAGAAGCCACTGGGGTGGGGACTCGTCGAATTGGAACAAGCAGGACATGCGTGCTTAGAGCGGTTACCTCGGGATGGATTCTGGGAAGCAGATTACGGTTCCAGGACGCATTGCCGCCTGACATCCTGGGAAATGTAGTCAGCGGGCAGCCGCTGCGCAAGCGCACTACTCAATTCCTCCAGCATCTGCTCACCAGGTTTTTTATTCTTCTCCTGTTGGGTTCCCGGCCCCTAGAGGTCTCAGGGCCCAGGCTTATCCCCGCGGAGAGTGAATCCTGCCGGCCTCCGCCGTTGGGTTCACTCTGCCGAGGCTTGCATCGGCCTTCTTGCTGAGATGCCCGGGCGCAGCAGATCTGCCTCGCGTCCCTTCTGCCGCCGCTGCGGGGTCTTTCCGCCCCACCCCCACCCCCCTTCCCGGGGTGGAGGTGGGGGGGGGGTGTTCCTGCCCTGAAAGAAAAGAGGGTGTCGGGAGTCGTGGGCTGGAGCGGATGAGTCCTCGCTGTGCGCCCGAGCCACCTCCGCAGCCTGCAGGACCCCGTAGGACGCTCGAATAAGAGGCGGGCGGGGGGGGGGCGGGGAGGTGTCCTGGTGGTTGCGGCTTCATTCTGCGAGGTCAGGGCGCTCAGAGGGGCCTGAGGCTGCACAGGGATCTAGACAACGGAAAGGGTCTCCCTCCCCTCGTCTGTCTCCGACTGTTTCCCAGTCAATGTCTTTGCCTCTCTGTCAGTCTGTCTCTCAAAGATCTCTGACTAAAAGGGAATCCTAGTGGGTCAGTTCTCCACCATTAATATATAGTATGCTTTTTTTTTTTTGGCTAGGCAGTGGAGTTAAGTGATTTGCCCAGGGTCACACAGCTAGTGTCAAGTGTCTGGATTTGAATTCAGGTCCTTCTGACTCCAGGGTGGGTGCTCTATCCACCACACCACCTAGCTGACCCTATGGTATGCTTTTTTGCAAGGTTTGTCAAGTTTCCTAAGTTTTCTTCTCATCTTCACACAAAGGTTTTCCAGCATCCATCCCTTTGCCATTTCAAGCACTTCCTCAGGCATGTTCAACTTCTCATGCTATTCTAATGCACATTTTATCTCTTATTTTCCTTTTAAGTAATGTATACCCATCCTTAGCACTATTTCTGGATGAATCAGTTCATCTCTGTAAGGTTTCCAGTGATACCTGAGCAGCATAAGGTGTTTCTATGCCTATACAAAAAAATGAATAATAAAGAATATGAAATAAAGATGTTAACTCATGAAAAGAAATTTGACTGGCCATCACATGATTCCAAAGGAGGACAGAATCTGGAACATACATTGAAATCCCATTGTGAGTCGAATTGTCAGACAACTGGTCGGTTTGTTCTCCCCGACTTGGCCTGGGGCATTGCCGCCACTGGCTCATCTCTTACAAATAGAAACAATATTGAGACTCAGTTGTGTTGAAAAGCTCAATCACATGCACTCTCCATGAACTCTGTCCTCTTCTTAATTTGGTATAGTTTCTAGAAATTTTATGATTAAATCAGTTGAGTGTGAGCAAGGCTTTGTATCTACATACTTTAATATCCAGGACAGGGTTGGCAGAAAAGGTTTTAATCAGAATCTTCCATAGGGGAAATACATCATAAAGGGATGCTATAAGTTATCTTTTTCAGGCATTGTTTGGATGCAATGGCTTTGGAAGTGCCTTCCCACTCTGAGATTCTGATATCCTTATGCCACATACCAGAACAAATTTCAAATAAATAAATGACCCAAGTAGAAGATACCAACTACAAAACAGTTAGAGGAGATTGGAAGATTAATTACATCATTCACAATTGTGGATAGGAAAAGAAAACAATTAGATACAGGGTAGAAAAAAGTGAATGAAAAAGTTTTCATTAAGTGCTTATCTAGGAGCCATGCACTATGCTAAGCATTGGAAATAGAAATAGAAAAGCCACGTTGGGCCCTGCCCTCAATGAGCTTAAGTTCTAATGTGGGAGACAGATAATTGTTATCCTATGAAATTTTGAAGCTTTTTGCATAAATGTGGCAAAAAGAAGAAAAACAGATTATGATAAAAAACCTTTGTGCCAAACATCTTTGATACAAGTCTGACATCCAAAATGTATAGGAAATTGACACAAAATTTACGATTATAAGCTATTCCCCAAGAGACGAGTAGTTAAAAGGTATAAACAAATAGTTTTCAAAATAAATTAAAATTACTGAGAAATAGGAGGCCAGGCAAACTAATTCCCTAATGGTGGTGACTGGTTCAACCGTTTTGGAAAACAATGTGAAATGGTTCGAAAAGTTAGGACATTGTTCCTATCTTTCTATCTACCTGGCCCCGCTATCGGGCTTAGTGCCTGACAAAGTCATGAATGGAAAGAAGAATCCTATGTAGACCAGAATATATATAGCAGTTGCTCATTCTGATAATGAAAAGCTGGGGACACATAATGGGCCTAATGTTTTAGGAATGGCTGAAATAAACTTTGCTATATGAATGTAAAGGAATATTATTGTACAGTAAGGAAATTTGGATATGAAGAATTGAGAAACATGGGAAGATTTGTATGAAGTTATTAGATTGTAAGCGCTTTGGGGGCAAGGGCTGTCTTTTGCCTCTTTTTGTATCCCTAGCACTTAGCACAGTGGCTGGTGCTCAAATGTTTACTGATTGATTAAAGAGTGAAAAAGAAATCAAAAGAATGTCATAATGACTACAATATAAATGAAAACAATGTAAAAACACAACAAAACTAAGGTCATCAGATACAATGTTGGTCTTAAATTATTAATACTAAAATACATATCCTTTTTTCCCATTTAGCAATAAGGTACATAAAGTGGGTTTTGCCTGTACAATCATTTGTAATCATTGTATTTCATGCTTTTATTTAACCATCAGGTTTTTTCATTTGTTTTGGTAAGGGCCTATTGGGAGTTTGGTGGTGGTGGTGGAGTTCTTTTTTTGGAGGTAATTGCTGTCAATATAAAATCTTCAGTGGCACCTACTACCTACCTCTGTAACAAAATGCAAACTCCTTAACCTGTATTTTAAGGCACTTCACAATCTGGCTCCCACCTTCCTTTCTATAATTCATTTCATATTAACCCTCTTTAACTCAGTTTATTCCAACCAAACTCACCAAACAGGGTGTTTCCTAAACCCAACAAGGTCTCTGCTCTTCGTGCCTTTGGGTAAACTGTCCCTCCTAGCTGGAATGCTCTCCTTACCTCCACTTCCTAGAATCCTTGGTTTCCTTCAAGACTTAGCTCAGTTGCCATTTCCTATGGGACAATCTTCCCCAACGTCTCTCCCTTCTTGCCCCCCATTTGTTAGTGTCCTCTCCTTGTACGGCTCCTTGAAGGACACTTGCTCAGAAAGCACACAGATGAGCAAGGCACTGTTAGGGTGCCAAGAGAGGGCATCACAAAAATAGTACACACCCTCAAGGAGCTTACATTCTAAAATGTAAAAAAATAGGTACATCGAGATACAGATATGATGGAAGGCAATGTTAAGAGGAGAAGGCTTTCAAAGCTGGGAAAGCAACAAAAAATTTCCTGTGGAAGGCAGCATTTGAGCTGCATCTTGAAGGAAGCCAGAGAACATTAGGGCTGAGGAAGAAGGGCATTTCAGGCATAGGTCATCAATGCAAAGACACAATGTTTTAAGTGGATGTCACCCACAAGAAATGGTAAGTAGTCCAGTATAGCTGGATTGTACAGTTCATGGAGGGGTGTAAAGTATAAGAAAACTAGAAAAAAAAAAAGGAAGGTGAGGAACTTTAAACACCCAACTGTTTTGTGACAATGCTCTGGCATAGGGGAATTCTTCCCAGAAGGTCATGGGGTTCCCCTGTTAGTCCCTGATTTCTATACCATTGTTATATGATCAGACCTGCTGGTCTTGAAACCACTATAAGTCTCTCCTTAGAGGAGGCTGTAGATCAGTGAAGCCAGTATTGGAAAAATATAGGCAAATTTCCCAAGATTAGTGCAACTGTATACCCAAAAATTATGTTATCGACTGCCAGACTATTTCTCAATTCTGTGTGCCCTGCCCTGAATGCTGACATGCAAATGACCACCCAGAATCAGAGTGTAAATATTCCACCCTTAGAAGGGAGTATGGGGGTGTGCCTACCTGCTGGAGCACTCCTTTCCAGGTGAATGGACCTTTCTCTGTGCTCCCCAGTACAGTGCTGCCCTTATATGGATTCTATATGACACAGTGGGTGTGTGTCTGCATTGCATATTGGATCCTCTTCTCCTTTTCCCTCTTTCCATTTCCTGGCCAATTCCCTGCCAAGCAAGCTTTGCCTTGAATGGACCCCATTGTTTTATATGTTATTCGTGGCACTCGAACTCATTAAGGGGTTTGTTTTCCTGACATCTCAGGCTGACCCACTGGCCTTTCCTTAGGCACAAACCAGGCCCTGGGAAAAGGACTTTACCTGTTGGTAGGTGTACTTACTCTGGGGAAGTAACTGGGGAAGCACTGTGAGCCCAGTCATGGAAAGCAGGGATCAGTGGGTACCCCATGTCCTCTCAGGAAGAATACCCTTATGCCAGGGGACTTTCACAAAACACAGACTTTATATTTGTTCCTATAGGTAACAGGGAGTCACTGGAGTTGTTTTAACAGGCAGGTGCTTCAGGAAAACCACTTTGGTACTTGGTTGGTAAATCAACTGGAGTGGAGAAGAGTCTTGAGACAGAGAGTGCAATTAGGTTACTATAATAAGTTGAGAGGTGGGACGGGCCTCAAATATGGTAGTGACTATGGAAGTGGAGAGAAGACATATATGAGAAATGGTGAGAAGGTAGAAATGATGAGGTTGAGCAAGAGATTGGATATATGGAGCGAATAAGAGGGAAGGATTAAGGATGATAATAAGTTTGTGAGCCTGAGTAACTAGGAGGATGGTGGTGTCCTTGACAGTAATAGGGAAGTTCAGAAGACAGGAGGATTTGGGGAGGAGGGTGGAGATAAATGTTTTATTTTTTTTTCTTTTTATTTCAAGTGATAAACAACAAAATGTATGTAGGTGCTAAATGTTTGTTGGGTTGAAATAATGCACCAAGTTTTTAAAAAATTTAAAGTTATGTGTGAATGATCAGATAAAGGAAAACTAAGATGAATCAGGTTGGACCAGATGTCCACTAAGAATTCTTCCAGACCTTGCCACAAGCTCAACTGGTGCTTAACTACTGGACTGGACCACTAGTGTCTCAGTGCTGGAAATGTACAACAGATACTCTAAGGTCCCTGTGGCAGACAAAGATAAGGGATATATGCCCTAATTGGAGGCTTTCAAAGGCCAGGTTACCATTTGGCAATATTGTAGAACGGATTCTTTTACAAGTATAGGTTGGATTACATGAGCTTCTAAGATTCCTTACAATCCTAAAATTTTGTGAAATTTTCTGAAGCTTTTATCCAAAAACTACAACTGCACAAAAAATCTGCAGTATGTAGTCTTTGATGAGCTCCAAAGTACATTAATAACATTTAAGGGGGTATTATCCAGAGGCTCCCTCTGGAAGGCTTTCCCAAACACACTAAATATTAACAATCAAATAAAATAAACACATTTTCTACAGTAACAATTTTCTTACGTGTAATAAACATTTGCCTAAGCCTGAAAGTATTCTCACATTCATTACATTCAAGAAGAGCTTCTCTCTAGAATGCACTCTATTACGGTATGTAATCTTTCCATTTTATTTGAAAGCTTGTGCATTCCCTGCATTGAGAGTATTTCTCTTCAACATGAAGCTTTGCTTTTTAGCTCAAGGCTATTCCAAATTTCTTACACTTAGAAAGTTTCTTTCCAGCACGAATTCTAATATTCCTTAAGGTTTCTACATCATTTGGAAGCTTTCCCACATTAATTACGCTAAAAATATTTCTCTCAATAAGGTTTCCCTTCTAGCTAAAGACCAAGCCATTCATTGGGTTTCTCTTTACTATGAATTCCATGATGTTTTTTGCAATGCAAATTTTCCTCAAGTTCCATGTATTTAATGGGTATCTATAGCCTATGATTTCTATTATGTACAGCAATTTGGTCTTTGCCTAGGCTGTTACACTTTCATTACATTCAAAGTGTTTCTTTCCAGTATACATTTTCTTATGTGCATTAAAGCTTCCTTTATGCCTAAAGGCTTTCCCACATTCGCTACATATGTAAGGTTTCTCCCCAGTATGGATTCTCCTATGTATTTCAAGGTTTCCCTTCCGGCTAAAGGCTTTCCCACATCCATCACATTTATAGGGCTTCTCTCCAGTGTGAATTATCTCATGTTGCATAAGAGATGAGCTCCGCTTGAAGACTTTCCCACATTCATTACATTTATAGGGTTTCTCTTCAGTATGAGTCCTTTGATGGCGTATGAGGCCTGATCTGTATCTGAAGCCTTTCCCACATTCATTGCATTCAAAATGTTTCTCTCCAGGGTGAACTAGCTTATGTGTCTGAAGGCGGGCAATGGTGCTGAAGGCTTTTCCACATTCATTACATTTGTAAGGTTTCTCTCCAGTATGAATTGTTTGATGTTGAGTTAGGTAGTGATTACTGCTAAAGGCTTTCCCACATTCATTACATTTGTAAGGTTTCTCTCCAGTATGAATTGTCTGATGTTGATTTAGATGGTGATTACTGCTGAAAGCTTTCCCACATTCATTACATCCAAAGGGCTTCTCTCCCGTATGAATTATCTTGTGTGTTTCCAGGTGTGCCTTCCGCCTAAAGGCTCGCCCACACTCATTACATTTGTAGGGTTTCTCTCCAGTATGAATTACTTGATGTGTATTAAGGTATACCTTGTTCCTGAAGGCTTTCCCACATTCATTACATTTAAAGGGCTTCTCTCCATTATGAATTCTCTTATGAATTTCAAGATGTGCCTTTTGTCTGAAGGCTCTCTCACATTCGTTACATTTATGGGGCTTCTCACCTGTATGAATTTTCTGATGTTGCATAAGGGAAGAGTAGTGCCTAAAAGCCTTCCCACATTCATTACATTCAAAGGGCTTCTCTCCAGTATGAATTACCTTATGCCTAATAAGATATACCTTCTTACTGAAGGCTTTCCCACATTCCTTACATTCAAAGGGCTTCTCTCCAGTATGAACCCTCTTATGTACATAGAGGCTTGCATGCCAGCTGAAGGCTTTTTCACATTCATTACATTTATAAGGTTTCTCTCCTGTATGAGCTGTTTGATGTTCAATTAGGTATCGTTTGCTACTGAAAGCTTTGCCACATTCATTACATTCAAATGGTTTCTTTCCAGTATGAATTATTTGATGTTGAGACAGGCTGTGATTATTGCTAAAGGCTTTCCCACATTCTTTACATCCAAAGGATTTCTCTCCAATATGAATTATCTTGTGTGTTTTTAGATATTTCTTCTGCTTGAAGGCTTTCCCACATTCATTACATTTGTAAGGGGTTTCTCCTGTATTTATTTTTTGATGTACAATGGGGCATGAGGAGTTGATGCTGAAATCTTTGCTACTTTGATTATACCTAAGGTCTTTTCCTCGTGTATGTAGTCTATGGTAATGAATGAGGTTTGAATGGTAAATAAAAGGTTTCCTGCAATTATTATACTTAGGAAGTTTCTTCCCCAGGGAGATTCTATTATGCTTAATTAAGTCTGAACATGGTCTGACACTGTTTCCAAGGGTATCATATTTATGTAGACATTTTCCTACAGTAACTTTCTGTTGTGGAATGAGGTTTGACCCTAGATCGACCTTTTTTTCACAAGTATTATATTCATTAGTGTTTAACTCATTAAAAGTACTGCTGTGAATGACTCTTAATGGTCTGCATGGTCTCTCTGGGTTGCTGTTCTGCCTCCCTAACCTGACATCACAGTCCCATGCTTCTTCCAACTTATCATCCCTAGGACCTTCCTTTTTGAGTCTTTTCTTGGATAATTCTCCTGTAGAAATATGCTGCCTTGGAGCTGACTCTGTGGTTTTCCAATTTGTCTTCCGTACAAGGAAATCTGAGAACAATAAAAGAAGTGCTATCAATATCTATTGCTCTCCAAGGGCAAGTAATCAAAAATGAACCAAAAGGACACCAGGGCCCTATAAGAACTGTGTCAGGAACAGTAAAGCCTCAGATGAACTAAGGCTCATGGCAATAAATTTTAAAGACAATAACAAAAAATACCTATTGATCTTTATGTTGAGAAATAAACTAGTTCTAGATACTGTCTCCTTTATTGATGAAAATAATGATCAATCTGGTACAGTTAATTACAATAACAACAGTAATAATAACACTAGCTAACATTTATATCGAGCCTAGATAGTCAGGCACTATGTTAAGCGCTTTACAAATAAAATGAGATATTTCTTTTTAAAAACCTTTACATTTTTAATGATGTAATTTATTTTTATATCATCTTTATTTCCAAATATACCCCACCCTTTCCACTATCCAATAAACTATTCCTTGCTGCAAAGAATAAAAAGGCAAAACAGAAGTTCAGCAACACCAACATAGACCGAGTCTGACAGTACATGTAATATTTCACACCACAAATCTGCCACCAATGCAAGAAATGAAAGAATTCCAATGTTCTACTCTCTTCTCCTGCTTTGAGCTTAGTCATTATAATTATACATCATTGAGCAAATATTCTTTCAAGGAAATGAAGCCCAAGATCAGTAAGGAGGAGATAATAAGAAAGCAACTAATTGCTCAGACTTTATACATTGTCTGAATTTTCATAAAGGAAAACAAGTTTATTTTGGAAAATATAGACTTCAAAATCCTAAGCCAAACCTGGGCAAAGGCTAGGATCCTATCAGTAAATATATAGTTTGCGTTCACTTAACCCCAATTGCCTCACAAAAACAAAACAAAACCAAACAAAAACAAAAAAACAGAAAAAAGAAAGACTAGAGATAAGAGGAAATGGAGATAGAGGGTACCAAGCAAAAGTTTTTGGCAGTGAAAGGAGAGAGATGAATTAGAACACTGATAACAGGAAACAAGGGATATCTGAAAGCAAGGGAGATTAAGGGTATCAGAAGAGAAGAATGACAGGAGGGATGGGATCCAGAGCAAAGCAGGAAGAGTTGGCAGCACTATGGAAGATCACCTTTTCCTCTCAGACAGGATGGAAACACAAGAGATGGGAGTAGATGATGAAGTTAGCAGAGGAATCTCAGGCTGGCTGGCCAGCGCTGGGGGCCTTAAAGAGAGTTCCCGACAACCTCACTACCCACTACCTCACTACTGCTACTTGCAATGCCTCTGGTGTGCATGTCTATCAATTCCCTCACCTGGGTAGGTACTTTTTAGGACTGCTCCTCCTGGTAGCCATGATGTTTCTCTTCTCTCCAAATGGAAGATTAGAGCTGGTTTGGGAACCGGAAGGCCTGCTCATGGGGAAATAAATGGAAAAGTGTTGAGATCAGAGAGACATCTCAGAATTCAACCTCAGCCTCTTTTTCTTTAGGGACTAGAGAGTATACTTGGAAGGACCTCTGAAAAATGTTCTACGTTGTGTTTCTAGGAAATATGGGGTATGGATGATAGGGTTTGATGTGGGCTCAGTTGAGCTCATTTTAACGTATTTCCTGCTAAGGGGATAGAAACTATTTATGTCTTTAAGACTTTAATGGAGAATCTCTGACCTGGATGAACAAACAGCCAGGAAGGAATCGTCCTGGTGACATCACAATAAAACTTCTCATTTCAAATTATTCGAAAACAAAAGAGCTTTTTTTTTTCCATGTGGAAAGAGGTTGCAACCACACTATGTGTTTCTCTACGCTGACTGTAGAGTCTACACCAAAGGATTTAGGAATCTAATCTCTGCTCATCAAGTCAAAACTTAGCAAAATACTTCAGGCAGCCCAAAGTCCTGAAGATGGGAGAGTACAAAGATATCCCAATGGACATGCTGATTCCTGGGATAAAACCTGTCCTTACCAAGGGAGACGAAGTTCTCATAGTTTTCCAGCATCACATCCCTGTGCATGTCCCTCTGAGCAGGTTCCAACAGCCCCCATTCCTCCAGGGTAAACTCCACAGCCACATCTTGGAAGGTCAGTGCTTTCTGAAATACCAAAAGACATTCCTGCTCATGGGGGGATCTTCTCCAATGGAGCATGAGGGATATATGAAGATGGCTGCCTGGAGAGGAAAAGGCATTATTATGGCATTAACTTACCTATTTCTTGAGTGACTTACTCTGGATCTCATCTTATATTAGATTCTCTATCACATTAATAATTTCATTTTACTGCCCAAGGTCAACCTTACCAATCCTCACCTACTTCAAGCTCCCAGGAAATCCAGCACTTTATTATTAATCATCACATAATGTTTTAGCTATCATATTCCTGGCACCTAGCACACTGACTGGAAAATAGTAGGATCTTTAAAAAATATTTTATTTTTAATTTAGGAAATAAAACAAACATTTCCATAACACAGTAGAATTTTTAAAAACAAAGATGATTGCACATCAAACTGCAAATCTGTTATGTACAACTTGCTATTCTTTTAAAACATATGAAAAAGTTATCAGATAACTTTTTTTTCCTTCCCTCTTGCCTGCCCCCTACCCTAGAGATGGCTACCATTAGACATAAATTTTATGTGTGTGTGTGTGTGTGTGTGTGTGTGTGTATATATATGTATATGTGTATGTATATCCATATGTGTGTGTGTGTGTATATATATATATATATATATACACACACACACACACACACACATATATATGTATATGTGTATGTATATCCATATGTGTGTGTGTGTGTGTGTATATATATATATATATATATATACACACACACACACACACACACACACACACACACACACATATACATACATACATATATATGTAAAATCATTCTATACGCATTTCTATTTACAGTTCTTTCTCTGGATTCAGATAGTGTCTTCTTTCATAGGTGTTCTGCAGTGAATTTGGGTGTTTATAATAGTCAAAATGACTTAGTCGCTCAGAGTTGTTCTTAAAACAGTATTGCTATGACCGTATGCGATGTTCTCTCTTGGTTCTGTTCATTTCACTCTTCATTATTTCGTGCCAGTCTATCCGTGTTTTTCTAACATCAACAAGCTCATCATTTCTTATAGTACAGCCATATTCCATCAGATCTCTACCACAACTTGTAAGAACATAATAAATGCATGTTGAAATTTCAGTTGTTTTTTATTATTATGAATTTGGCAAATGTGGACAAATGTGAACACTTCCTTATTCAAAGAGCAGAGGATGGAGACTGTACGTGAGGCCATGAATCTCTACTACATATACCTTGGTTTTTTTTTCAAGTAGGCGTCAAATATGACACAGCTGTTCCAACACTGCCCTGCTTGTCTGTGCCTCTTTCTGAATTTCTTTCTGCTCCCTTTTGTGTTTTGACTGTTTCACTGATGTCCTTTTCCTTTATCCTTTTGTCGGGCTGTCATTATCACTACCGATAGGGTGCTCATGCCCCAGCCCTGAGATCATGTCTCTGGAAGCCTTCCAGTTTTTCAGTAGGCCCCTGTCCTGGGAGAAGATTTTCTCTTGCTGCAGAACACATTCTCTTATCAGAACAGACAGAAGGGTGCCTGGCCCAAGGCTTTATGTCCCTGGCTGGCCCAAGGACTCTCTTGTCACCAGATCCCCAAAGTCCATGCCTCTGGCAACTCCCTCAGTGTCTGGTATCAACAAAATTATCGCTGCAAAACTCCCTGTATTTTCCCATCCATAGCTCCCAAAGACACCTGGACCCCTTGCATTACCTAATTAGTATCTCTGGCATTCCTTTCCTATGCCCCTTTTCCATATACACCCCAGCACCATCCTTACTAGCTTGCAGGTTCCCTGAGGACCCTTGCCAACTTTTGCTGAAGTGTTACAATAAACTTTTTGCCACTTGACTAAGAGAGGGCTCTGAGCATGTGAATTCGTTCCAGGCAGTGCCTTGGCATTCTTGGAGTCCCTTCACTCTGGGGGCCTGGTGCGGACCTGCCTGGCTCTCATGACCTCTTCCTGCCGAGATCAGACGGTAAGCAAGCCTTCTCCTCTCTGTCCCTTTTTTGCCCCACACGTGGGGTCCCTCTCTGAGCGCCTGGGAAGGCTTGGAGGTGCCTTTCGGGCCTGATGCTCTCAGGCTTTCCATGGAGTGGTGAGGCTGTGGAGGTACACATGCACAGGGGATGCCCTATCTGGAAGCGTATGCCCACTGCTCTCATTTCTCTGGAACACTGGGGAACCTGAGTGGCTGCTTCTTGGTTTCACAGGCTTACAGGCAAGGAAATGGGGCAATCCTCATTTTACAGTCCCCAGAAATTCGCAGCTGGGTTGTCTTTTAAAGAACTGGAAAAAGTTTGGTTTCTCCCAAGCACTCCATCATTATCTGACACTCTCCTCCATAGATTCTCCTCATCCCAAGAGAAATAAAAGCCCCACATCTCTACTAGTAACAAATGAGTTAATAAGCATGAAGTACTTACTATGTGCCAGGCACTCTGCTAAGAATATAAGGGATAGGCAAAATACAAGCAAACCAGACAGGCCCTGCTCTCAAAGAGCTTACATTCTAATGGAGGAAGACAACACACAGAGTGGAACTTTTAGAAAGGGGCAGGGGACTGAGGGAAATGATTATTTCTCTCCTATATTAATAACCAATTACTTTTGGGGAGATCCAGGATTTTTCCCCTTCCTATTTCCTCATTCTTTACTAGGTCAAATCAGCCCCTGAAGAGTAGGGTTGACAATGAGATTGGACTTAACATTCTCCTCAATCTCATTCAAACCTGACCCAACTAGAGAAGCCCACTATGTTCTACTCAGGCTTGGGGAAGTGGTGGGTAAGGGGGGTGGGTAGATTCTGTGTCTAGATTTCCTAGGGCTGGGAGTAAGAGTAATATAATCAAAGCCAGTCCCCCAGCCCTCCTTAGAATAGGTCTGCCTCTTATTAGAATATTCATTCTCCTCATTAATTGTTAACCAATCAGAGTTGATTGCTGTCTGTTGGGAACACCCACTCTTCCAAGGGCATATAAGCGTCAATATAAGTGTCAATAATCCATCTTTGGTTTATTAGAGAAGGCCAAATGACCATCCTTTTATTAGTTATTTGCTAACCATAATTAATAAAATGATTAATTACCCAGAAATTATGCCTCTTGAATTTTTTATACATAACAGGACACATGCAAAATGGCATGGTTTAGAATGAGATGGCAAGTGACATGAAGGTCTGGTTGTAGGCAAGATAAGGCACAGTTCACCTATCAGAGCCCAGGGTTCTAGTCAAGCAAGACACATCTGCACGCTGATCATGCCTAAAGGTGTACCCTCATTCTGCATCTCTGGTCTCTCATGACTCTTCCAAGATGTAGAAGTTTGATGTATCTTCGTTTTGGAGCTACAATTGGTTATTGCATTGGAAAGAGTACATAAGTCTCCCACATTTATTTTACAACATTGTAGTCTTTGTATAAGGGGCTCTCTTGTTATCAATATTTTTGCATATGTATCTCTTTATTTGGTCCCTATGGGGATATAACTAGTCATGGTATAACTAGTCAAAGACCCAGTTCAGTGAGTCTCCTAAATTCAGTGACTTTTGAGGAATAGTTCCAGATTGCTTTCTAGAGCACTACACCATTTAGCAGTTCCATGAACAGTCCAGCCCCTCTAACAATTGCCTTTGCTAAGCTGATGGATGTAAAGTGGAACCTTACAGTTGTTTCAGTTTACATTTCTTTTATTGTTAGTGTTTTGGAACATTTTTTTATGTCTGTTGATAACTTGGATTTTTTCTTTTGAGAATTGCCCATGCATATCCTTTCACCGTTGATCTACTAGGGCAGGCGTGGGGAATCTGTGGCCTTAAGGCCACTTGTGGCCATGTAGGTCCTTAAGTGTGGCCTTTTGACTGAATCTAAATTTTACAGAACAATTCCTTTTATTAAGGCCACAGGTTCCCTGCCCCCCGTCTTAACCAGGGAACAGTTCTTGTTCCTAGATATTTGAATCAACTCATTAAGTATCCAGCCTTGATCAAAGAAACTTGCTAACACATTTTTTCCCCTTATTTTCTTGATTTCCATTTAATTTTAGCTGCTGGGTTTTTTAATGCAAAAATTTTAAAACTTATAAAATTAATCATATATTATATAAATTATAAAATTAATAATTAAATATTTATTTTATCTTCTGTGATCCCCTCTGTCCTTTGCTCAGTCACAACCAATGATCCGAAATATAATTTCTTCCTTCTCTAATTTGCTTATGCTATTCCCTTCCTGTCTAAGTCAATATCCATTTAAAGCTTATCTTGGTAAAAGGTGTGAAATGTTGAGGTATAGGAGTTTCTGCCAGACTTCTTTCTAGTTTTTGTCAAATAGTGAGTCCTTGCCCAATAGTTGGAGTCTTTGAGCTTACCAAATGCTATACTACCACATTCATTTGCTTCAAGAGTGCTTTTGTAGGGTTTATTTATAAGAGGAAAAAGAACATATGAATTCAGAACTATATCAGTGAAAGGCTAATTAAAGAAAAACACCTTGATCCAGACTTCTAGGCCTAAAGAGAATTATGATGGACCAAGCTAGGCTCTCTCCCTAAGGGAGAGAGGAGTGACCAGCTACCAAGGCCTCTGGTTCTAGTCCAGGCTCTGCAGCTGGCGAGCTTGAGTAAAATCACAGGATCCTAGAGTTAGAGGTGGAAGGCCTTAGAAATCATCTAGGCTAACCCCCTCATTTTACAGAAGAAGAAACCGAGGACAAGAGGTGAAGTGATTTACCCAAGGTCATAAATGACAGGGCCAGAAAGACTCCAAATCCTGCAAACTTTCCACCGTAACACAGTCAACCTTTTTGACTTCAGCTTACTCATGTATCAGATTAGGGGACTGGATCACGTGATGCCTGCGACTCTTTCTAGATCTAATAATCTATGGATTTTGGGAGCCCTACAGCACTCAAACCATCAGCTCCGGCCTTCAGAGAGAGAGCACTAGGTCTTCTAGTCCTTGCATATGACTTGGTTGAGCACAGAAACGGAACAAAAGGGAAAGAAATGCATCCACACTGTGAAGAGTGATCAAGCATATCAGGAAGGAAAAGAAATGCTAGCTCACCTGGGACCTAGCTGTCAGAAACCCCGAAGTCATTTCCTCCTCTTCCTTCACTCTCCTTTGGCAGGGAAGACAAGAGTCTTGAGAAGCCAGAACTGAGGAAGAAAAAATAAGTTATTAAAGAATCCAACTCTGCCTTGTCACTCACCAACTCACCAGGGTGAAATTAATTACACATCATCTGGGTGTAATTCCAGGGTCCTTTCAGAGAGAGAAGTTGAAAGGAACCCAGCCACCAGCTGACCTCATCCTAGAATCAGAGGGAAGGACCATGGATATCACTTACGAAGACACTGATTCTCTCTCTTATGAAGCAAGTTCCAAAGGCCAGAACTTCCTTTGGGGAATCAAGAGACATGGGCTGCATGCTTAGCATATCTCACTATGTGCTATATGATAATGAATATGCAACTCAGTTATCCCCTCATTTAAGGGAGAAAAATATTTCCACCCTCCTACTTGTCTTGCTGCAAATGTGAGAAATCAATTTGCTGAATTATTTGGGGGTAAGCTCAGTGAAAGGACAGGAATAATGGTTAACAGCAAGTTGAAACTAAAGATAAATAGGGAGATAGTAAGAAAACACTAGCTAGTTGCCTTAGCTAAGTTTAAGTCACAAGGCCTATAAGGACTACCCAGGCCAACCACTGGTGCTATTAATCTCTGAAAGATCCTGAAGAATGGAAGGGGCCTCAGTACTGGAGAAGGGCAAAGGTTGGTCCAATTTTAAAAAAAAGACTATGGCCTGCAAGCTAAGTCAATGAGCTCTACCTTGTTACTTGGCAAACTCCTAGAACATTACTGAAGGGATGATCAGGGAACAACCAGAAGAAGGAACAGTGATAACTTTTTAAAAACAAAAATGCATTTTTCGGTGCCAGTTTTGCTGACCTGTCTTTTTAAATTCTTGTTACATGGAACAGCTTTATGGCCAGGGGGAGAGAAGTGTATGTTGGGAAACGTGGGTGATAGAAAACTAAAGGCTCTCAATAAATATTTATGTAAAAAAAGTGCAAACTACCAACAACATAAGACAACATAACAAATCACTAATAAGACGTGAAAACACCTCCAGTTTCATCTTACACCCAACAGAGCACCAAAGAAAAGTCACAGATAAGCAGATTCAGCTCCCACCCAGAACAGGCTGGAGGAGCAACATTTGGTTTTCAGCTTTTTGTCCCCAGAGCCTAGCACGGACTCTGGACCAGGGGAGGTGCTTAATCAATGGTGAATGGATGAATTAAATGAATGAATGAATGAATGCCAGAGGAGATGTGGGAAGACAGGAACACTAATGTCCTGATGCTGCTGCTGTGACTTCATCCTAGTGTTCTTATAAAGAGTTTGGAAGAGTGTGAGCAAAGTAAATAAACTATTTACACCCTCTGAGCCACCAAAAAGTTGGGCATTTTAACCAAGGAGGATAGAAATCAAGTTCCTATAGATACCAGAATACCAGTAAAAAGTAAAAGAATACCAAACACCGGAGAGAAAAGTGCGTGTCTTTCCATCACCTTGGGAATGGCCAAGCAAATCGTGGCAGAATAATGTTTCACCTTATAAAATGAAGACTACGAGGAATTTGAGAAACAACACAAGATGCATATGAACAGATGCAGAAAAAAAGCAAAGACTACAGCAACGTAAATAAACACCATTCAAATACAGCTGATCTAAAATTAGATTCAATGACCAATCTTGGTCCTGAAGGACAGATCACGGAACATCCTTCCCAGTTCTTTTATTAGAGAACTAAGGGACTTGGCAGGGGCAAAATATTTCATAATCTGGCAGATGTGGTTGCTTCACTATCTAATTTTGCTTAACTGTTTTTCCTAGTTATAGGGAAAGGTTTGGTGGAAGCCCCAAATGGGGGTGGGGGGAGGTAGGGTGAGTCAGTTTGGAAGGTCATCCAGTGGGATGCCCTAGGGACTATCCTTTGGCCATTTAACATTTTCATCAATAACTTAAAGGCATAGGTAGCTGCCTTATTTAATATTCAGGTGGCACAAGTCTGGAAGGGATGGCTAAGGCTTTGGATGATAGGGTCATGATGCAAAAAGACCATGTCAGATTGAATACTGAGCTGATTTTAAGAAGATTACATGTAATAGGGATTACTGTAAAGTCTAATCGTCGGGTTAAAAAATCAACTTTACAAGTAAAACAAAGGGGAAGTATAGCTAGACAAGCTATAAAAACTGAGCACTTTAGTGGGTCACCTGTGGGGTCCTTAGGGGTCACCTGTGTGGAATGGCACCACCCCCATTGCCCCTGCCCCAAACAGCTGAAGCTCAGGTTGCTGAAAGAGGAGACTACCCAGAATGAGAGGGGCAAGAGTCCTGTTTTTTTTTTTTTACCCTAGATGGGCATATTTAATTTAGACTATTAAATTCAGTTCTGGACACTATGTTAGGGACAACATCAATAAGCTGGAGAGTGTTCAGAGAAGAGAAGCTAAGCTTCCTTTTAGATAAAGATTGGACTAGGGGGTTACTGAGGTCCCTTAAAATCAGAGATTCTGATATGGGGAAGGGCCTGCAGATCTCATACACACACACACACACACACAGAGACTTGTGGGGGGAAGGTGGCGTGAAAAGCTTTCTTTCAAGTATCCAAAGGGCTGGCCCATGGAACAAGGCTGGACTTTCTCTGCTTTGCTCCAAAGGCAAAACTAGGAACAAGAATTAATAATGCAAAGAGGTAGATTAAAGTGCATACACTAGATAAGAGAATTTGTATCCTCAAAAGATTCTGCCAGCCTAGAATCCCAAGCCAAATGAAACTGTATAGAAATAAATGTAAACCCCTACTTTAGGGTTTAAAAATTCAACTACATAAGTTGGGGAAGAATGGCAAGTTCATGGTGAAAAAACCCCTTGTGATTTTAGGGGACTCCTAGCAGACTAAGAACTGTGAATGGTCAATATAAATTCCTCTGTCTGCTTCCGGATTTGGGAGTATCCTCATTTTTATTTCTGTGCACCTCTTTCTTAGTAAAAATACGTTTTTGTTTCCTTTTTTTTTTTTTTGGGTGAGGCGACTGGGGTTAAGTGACTTGCCCAAGGTCACACAGCTAGTAAGTGTCTGAGGCTGGATTTGAACTCAGGTCTTCCTGACTCCAGGGCTGGTGTTTCATCCACTGCAGTGCCACCTACCTGTCCCCTTAGTAAAAATTCTTAAAAAAAAAATACACCACCATCGTGGATACAAGAAAGGGGCTTTTCTTCCATCATGGATAGCGATCCTTTAGTCTAGGATGGTGGTAGCCAGGGGACTGAGAAGTTCAGAGGCCAGAAAGCACAGGTAGAATGGACCAGAGAAGGGGGTGTGAGTTTGGGGGAGGTGATGGTGCCATAGAGCATCCAGGACCATTCTCTTACTTACCCTTCCCAGATCCACGTTCTCATTCTCTCTCTGGTCAGGTTTCCCCACTGACTCCTCCCACTTAAACCTTCTCATCTCTAACCTCCCCCTGAAAGCATCAGGTCCAAACACTGGAGAGTCATTACTTTTCCATGTTCCCCTTGATGTTCTGACAAAAGTCAGAAGTCTAGTATACTCAGCAAGGAGGGGAAAATAATTGCTCTGACACCAGTAACTCATTCTAATTGGTCTTTGCACTGAAGCTCTGGGGTGAGGAAGGTCTCAGGCCAGGTACTTTTCCTTTGATTTCGATTCAGTTGAGCATTTCAGTGGCCACTATGCCTATGGCCCCTTGCTTTCCAGGGCTGTCCCCTAATGCCTTCACCCCCCTGAAGACTTGGTGGCCAGGTGCCCCGAAGTGGACCCCTTTAGACTGCTGGAGGCCGAGATCAGACTGAATCACCTGGAAGACACCTTTACCCTAAGTCACACTGACTGTCCTACACAGATGGCCAGACTCCCTGGGGCTTTTGCATGAGCATCTGTGGTGTTTCACTGATTCCGCATTTATTCAACCCATATTTATTCAAACCCATTCTATCCCAGGCTCCTCGGTGGATATAAGGGTTTGCCTCCTACTGTGAGATCAGCAAACCACTGCTCTGGAATGACACTTGCTTTCCCAGGGTTTTTCAGCACTTCAAGGACCTGTCACAGTACACCCTCTGGGGATGCAGCACACATCTTGGGGTTATGTTGCCAACCAGGTGAGTCCTTGAACCAGCCCGTTCTGGCCCATGCTAGACTTATTTCCAGACTGGCAGGATATTCCAGAGCTCGTGCCCAGATAAGGCAGCACAGCCTTCAAAAATCCACAAGAAAACTCTGGGGTGGGACCCTGGCAGGAGATGCTAGAAACTGAACAGTGCCTTCTGAAATTCAGATAACATCGGAGAGGTAGTTCAGCCTGGATGGGGAGCTGAATCAGGCAAGAAGCCTTGGCTTCAAGTCTTGCCTCAGACACATGCTGGCTGTGTGACCCGGGGCAAGTCAATTAACTTCACACTACCCCAGGGTACTCTCAAAGACTATGAAGTTCTGGAGCAGGTGCACCCCTGCCTCCACATGCCGATAAGATCACAGGTCTGCTCCCTCTTCAATCTGGCTTCCGGCCTCATCTGAGGTCTACCTGAGAGGCTCCCACAGTTACCACAGACCTCTTAATTGCCAAATCTTTTGGCCTTTTCTCAGTCCTCCTCCTTGTGGACCCCACTCTGCAGCATTTGACATCGGGGATCACCTCTTCCTCCTGGATACTCTCTTCCTTTTCACGAATCTGCTCTCTCTTGGGTCTCCTGTCTGGCTTTTTTTTTTTAATGGGAAGGTATAAAACAATCTAACACGTACAAACAAGCCAGACTTGGTCGGTTAATAACTCCTTAGTTCTTAGACATCCACCTAGAGCACCAAAGGGGTAAAAGACTCGCCAGTGGTCACAGGGCTAGTATTTGTCAGAGGCGGGAAGAGTGAGGTCTTCCAGACTCCACCACCAGCATCTATCCACTATCAATACACACACACACACACACACACACACACACACACAATGTGGCCAACCTCATCTTCAAGGACCTGAAGGAGAAAGACAAAGAGAGAAGGTCACTTGGGGAAAGAGGAAGAAAAAGGAGAAAAAAGCTTGGTCTGAGACCAAACAGGATGGAAAGGAATGGAGAAATGGTCTCATCTGACCCTTTTATTTTGGAGATGAGGAAAACGTGGCCCAAAAAAGGAAATGACTTGCTCCAGATCACACAAGGATTCAAAGACCAAGGAAAGTATGAACAGTGGTATAAGGATTCTAAATCCCGGGCTTGCTTGGGTGGACTATGATGAAGAGGAATGACTAGGGGGAAGAAAGGTCTGAGTTGAAGCAAAGATTCTCAGGATCATAGGTGACATTTAAACAATACCCGATGCTGTACAAAGCACTTTATACACATCATCTAATTTAAGAGGCAAGGTGGTGTGGTGGATAGAGAAGGCCTCTGAGATCTGGGTTCAAGTCCAGCCTCTGTATGACCGTGGCAATTCTCTAAGTTGCAAAACAATTGCTAATCTGGGTCAGTAGTTTCCTCACCAGGAGCTCTGATGCAGTCACTTCTATACAGACAAAAATCTCCATTGATTCTAACAACCCTATGAGCTACTTGGTCCTAATAGATAATAATTCATATTACTGAGAATTTTCCCACAATGATGAAATACATCACAGGTCTGGTCCAAACATCTATATAGCATTTTCAGGTTTGTAAAATGCTTCCCTTACATAACCTCGTGAGGCAGGTGGTTACCAGTATCATTACTCCCATTTTGCATGTTACAGAAAGTGAAGCTCAGAGAGAAGGGATTAACTATAATCGCACAGCTATCTGAGTCTGAGCCAGGATTTGAACTCGCTGTCAAGTCCCTTGCTTTTTTTTTTTTCCCCACCAGACCAGTTTGTCAGAATAAGATGCCAAGAGGCCGAAGACAGCGAACAAGGCACTGGTGACAGCCCCCTTAAGTGGACTGGGGGGGCATCTGACTACAGAAGGGGCAAGAAGGGCTCCCTGTCCCATCCTGCCTTCCACTCCCGCCCCAGAGCCATCCTCTACACTGACCTTCACCCACCTCAGCCCCAGTGCACAACCCTCCCTCGCTGCTTTCTGCCAAAGATTCCGCTACAGTGCTGCCTTTTGCAGGAAGTCTTCCCAGGCCCCCCAGATGGTGAGGAGCACCTTCCTTCCGCCTGTCTACATCCTGTATGAACTCATGGACCTGTCTACCTCCGCTATTGGAATGGAAACTCCTGGAGAGCAGGCACCATTCTCTCTTTTTTTTTAAAACTTTCTTTGCATCCCCAGTGTTTAGTACAATGCCCAGCATACAGTAGGTGCTTAATAAATGCTGGTTGTCTATCCCTTTCTTCTTTGTAAGGGTCTGCTGACTGCCTGGCCCATTGTCCCCAGTGGATTTCCCAGGTTCAGACTCGGCCACAGTCCAGCCATCCCAGGTCCAAAGAGCCCTTGAAACCCATTTCTAGTCCAACCGCTCAGTTTATACCTTCTTTTACAAAAGAGGAAACTCAGGTCCTGAGAAGTTAGGCGACCTACCCAGCGGCATAAAGCCAGGAAACAGAATGGGAGGAATTCGAACCCACAGCCACCACATCCGGGTTCTGAGGTCAGGTCCGCGCTCCCGCCCTCACCCAGCAGGAAGTGAAGGAACGGGGGAACCCCTCCCCCATGCATTCACCCTCACCCTCACTCACCTGCTGCCCGCCCAACGCAGATCTACGCACTAGGAGGAAGGGAGAAACCCCGCCCCAGCTGGGACCGCGCCTGCGCAGAAGCCCTGAACTACGTTTCCCGGAATCCTTCGGGAAATTCTCGGAGCCGGTCAGGACAAATTTGATTGGACATAACCCCTTTCACGTGACGCCCTTGGCTCTCCGATGGACTCTGGGAAATGAAGTCTCAGAGAAACACAAGGTCCGGACCCCCGTAGAATTCTGGGACATGTAGTCTGAAGTCTCTGCGCAGGTGCACTAAGCAGTTATTCAATAAATCGAGTAGACTAGCGTTTATTATTATTATAATATAACGGAGACAGTTCATACGTAATCGGAAACAGACCTTAGAAGCCCTAGATTCCATCCCTCTCTTTCTACAGAAGGGGGCCCAGAGAGGGAGAAACACTTGTCCTGGTCACATCCCCTGAGGGTCAGAGCAGGATTCGATCTGGGCACCCGCCGCTGCCCCGGAGAGGAGGGTCTGCGGCTGGGGGAGGGGCGCGCCGGGCGGGGCTCTCCTGGACCCACAGAGTGTCCTCTCCTCTTTCCTTTCCCTGCCCTTTCATACCTTCCCCTTCTGTCTCTCCCCGCCCCCATCTCTCTCTCTCTCTCTCTCTCTCTCTCTCTCTCTCTCTCTCTCTCTCTCTCTCTCTCTCTCTCTCTCTCTCTCCATCTCTCTCCCTATGTACTCTCTTCTCTCTCTGTATCTCTGTCCCTCCCACTCTCCTTCCTCTTTGTCCTTTTTGTCTCCCTCCGCTCCTTCTCTTTGCTGTCCCTCTCCTCCTCTCTCTCTCTTCATCTCTCTCTCCCTCTCGTCTTCTATTTCTCCGTCTCCTTCCCTGTCTCTTCTCTTTCTCCTTTCTCCCTCTTTCTCTCTCCCTTTCCTTCCCCCCACTCTCCGTCTGCAGGGTCCTGGAGGATGTAGGAAAGGTTCAGAGCTGCTCATGAGCCTTGCCCTCTGCTATAGGGAGGAGATACATAGAGAAGTAACATAACACAGTGTGTTGTGCATGTAGGTTGACTGGACTCTGCTCCTTAGGTGATGCCTCCCGTTAGAATACGTGGGTCCTATGGAGTCCAGCCAGCCCAGAAGGGATGCTCACCATGAACTTGGTCTTGATGCCAACTTCTGGGTGGTTCATGCCTCCTTACTGCTGTTACTACCCTCTGCCTGCCTTCTAATTTTTAGTATCTCTTTAGTTTCTCCTGGGGTTTACCCAATATCCAACAAGGAGCCCAGCTGGATTTTGGAGAAGGCGAGTGACCTAATCCTGAGGAGGATTAGTCTTGGAGTCCTAGAAAGGATGAGGGGAGAGACTGGAGGTGGGAAGACCAGTCAGGAGGTGCCTAGTTCAACAGGGCAGTAATAAGGGTCTGTACCAATGTGGTGGCCATGAGAACTGACAAGAGGGAAAGAGAGACGATCATTGTTATGGGGGGTCTGGTAATTAAATGGATATTTAGAGAAGAAAATGTAGAAGCTGTTTCTGGGAATAAATCCCAAAATCTAAAATAGTTTTAGAAAGAAATTTATTAGGCCATTTGGTAGAGGGAGGGAACAGGAAAGAAAGGTTTGTGTTATATAGGCTTTAGACAAGTGTCCCTACATGCAAACCCCACATACACAATTAAGCCATTTTGCTGAAAAGGAAACTTGAAGGCAAGATAGATTGAGATAAATATTAACGTTCAATAAAATTTGGGCAAAGCCAAACACAAAGAAATCCCAAAACAAAGAGACCCCAAACAGGAATATTTTAGGTGGATCCCGGACTTGGGAGAACCCAAAATACCTTGTAGCCATCTCCAGCATGCCTAGAGAGTTACTGAGGTCGGGGTGACATTCTGGGTTAAACGTCTCTAATCACATTAAGTTAGGTTCAAACAATGTCAATAAGTGATAAATAATCATCCACAGAGTAGAAGAAAATGTGCTTAGTACAGCCTGGCACATAGTAGGCACTTAATAAATGTTTGATTGACTGATGTGGGGTGGGGTTGGCAGAGCTATGACAGGTATTCAGATAAATAAATACAGATTATACAAGAAGTAATTTCAAGAGGGAAAGAGAACTAACCACGGAAGTGAGGGGCTTGAGGAGAGATCGGGAAAGGCTTTGTATAGGAGGTATGATCAGAGCTGTACGTTAAAGGGCACTAGGGATTCTAAATAGAGGAGCGTTGGGGAGGAGACATGGGAAACATGCCAGTGCATGTCATTAACAGGTAATGATTAAAAGGTCACAGCATATGGAAGGAAATAACTTGAAACAAGGCTGTTAGGGTAAGTGGAAGCAAGATTGTAGAAAGCTTTAAATACTAGGCTTTTTTTGTATTCATCCCAGAGGCGATAGAAAAACATTGAAGTTTTCAGAATATTAGTGTGAAATAATCATATCTGTGTTTTAAGAATATCAATTTGGCAGCAGTGTGGGATACATAGTGGAGGAAAATAATAATAGGGGGACTACAGGTGTCCAGGCAAGGGATGATGACAAACCAGGGTAAAGGCTTTATGAATAAAAGAATGGAACAGCGGTGAGATTTTGTTGAGGTAGAATACAGTTACCTCAGTGCAATCAACCCAACTCAGTAAGCACTTCCTAAATGTTTGTGATGCAAGGTGCTCACCTGGGAACTGAGGTCATAGAGCCAAAACCAAATTGGTCCTTGCCCTTGGGGAAATTTCATTATTCCCCAAGTGGACATATACAAACAGGTCAATAAAGGATAATTTATCATGAACCCTAGTGATAAGGATGGTGGTGCCTTCAACAGAAATAATGGAGGTGGGAAAGGAGTGCAAGAAAATTGCATTTTGGACATGTTGAGTTTGAAATGTTTTTGGGTGATGTCCAGCAGACCACTGGTAACACGGGTCTAGATTTTAGTAGAGAGATTAGGGCTAGATATATCTGTTTGGAAGCCATCTGCATAGAGATGATAATCGAACAAAACACATCAATTGAGAGACCAGGACCTAGGGCAGAGCTTTGGCAGATGCCCATACTTAGTGGATGGGAACAATGACTCTCTTGGCAAAGGAGACTTGAGAAGAAATCCTCAGGTGGAAGATCAAATAAAAGAAATAGGGGGAGAGTTCAATTTGACTAGAGCCTAGGGTAAATGAAGAATGATGTGAGATAAAGCTGGAAGGGTAGGTTGGAACCAGATTATAATGCCTCTAGAATGCCAATGTAATGAGTTTAAATTTTACTTGGTAAGGAATGTGGAAGGATTAAAGTTTCTTAGGTGAGAGTGACTTGAGCAGAGAGGTATTAGAAAGCTAATTTGGGTTGCAGAAGTGCCTGTTCTTGGGATCTCTCAAAATCAGTAACAACTGTTCAGCAATCATAGCCAACTGATAGTTTCAGTACCTGGACAGGTCATTTATCTGAGCTCAGTGAGCAGAACTCAGTGAGATCAGCTTAGGTGCTTTCCTACTTTCTACCATGATCTGAATCTTCTATTAGCCATTTTTGTTCTGTTTTCTCCAGTCCTGACTCTGCTGGGCATCTCTGGCTTCTGGCATCCCCTGGCACTGATCTCTCTGCCCTGAGCAGTGGTCCTCCTCACGCTGTGATTCTTTTTTCCCTATTAGAGGGTAACAAGCACCCCCAAGCCTTTCCGTTATCTGAACCCTTTGCAGCTTCAGCCCGCTCCAAGCTCCAGTGCCCCCCTCCCAGAACGAAGTCACTGCTAGAGACCCCCACCGCCCATTATATCTTCCAGGGTCCTGCAGGCAGTGACTACAGGGTGAGCCCCTCGTCTTGAGGATCTCATCAGTACAACCAGAAACCGACCTTTGGGAACCCCAGGCTGCATTGGTTCCCTCTCTGCTTCCCCCTCCCTCTCCCCACAATCCACGGAGGTGGCTCGGACGCACACGGAGGCCACATCCGTTCCAGCCCACGACCCCAGACACCCCCTTCTCTTTCTGGGCACAGATCGCGGGGACTTGGGTGGGGGGGAAGCCCCCAGCAGAAAGGATGCGGGGCAGACTTGCAGCCCCTCCCCCCGAGTATCTCTGCAAAGAAGCTGGTGAAGGTTTCAGGAAGGTGACACGGAAGTGGAGGCCGGCACGGCTCACTCTCAGCCGGGGTCAGCCCAGGCCCAGAGACTCCCCATCCTCACCCCAAGGGACTGGGCACCCATCAGGCAAAGAACGAAAGCCTCTCGGGCCATTTCTGGAGGAACTAGGAGTGCGCCTGCGCAGAAGTAGCCCCCGGACTACATTTCCCAGGAGACCAAGGCACAAAAATCTTTCCCAGTCCTAAGGTAAACATTCTAGGCACGTGCTGCGGTCTTCCTCGCCCTCATTCGAGCAGGGAATTGTCCGGAGCCCGTTAGGTTCTGGGAGTCGTAGTTCAGCCTTTGATCTGCGCTAGCGCAGTCCTGGGCGTGCAGCCTAAGGCTTTCCGCTTTTCATTTTTGCTGGGTCCTTTCAGGTGAGTGAGAATGTGAGTGTGTGCAATCGTGAGAGGGGGCGCTGCTGGACTGCGGACCCTTGGGTCCGTGTCTGGGGAGGGAGATGAAAGGAAAAGGGGGAGGGGCAATATTGATAGAAGATGTAGAACCACCCGCACGGTACAGCGGAGCCAGGACCTGGGTTCAAATTCTCCCTCCCGCTTCCAGCTCTGTCACCTTGACGGAGGCTGCTGACCTCCCTGGGGCGCAGTTTCCTTTTCTTTAAAGTGATGGAGGTTGAGCTCGGCGGCCTCTGAGCTCCTCTCCTTCTTTTGTTCTTTCTTTTCTAAATTAAATTTTTATTTATTTTTTCAATCAACCAAAAGCCTAACTTTTTTCCTTCCCAGGCCTCCCCTCCCTACCGGTGAGAAAGAAAAAAACAAAACCGTTACCACCACGGATGGAAAAAAACCCCAAGTCCCTCTGGCCGAGCCCTAAAAAGGCTCCAGCGCGCCCTGAGGTCACCCTTGGGAGCCTGTGCCCCGAGGCCTCGCATAGTGTGGTTGGACCTGGTCTACAAAGTCTTTCCCCGGGGCCTGCCTTTACAGGGTGGCCGTGGTGCCCCTGGACCCCGGATTGTGCCCACCCCGCTCCGCGTCAGCCCAGCCGGGTTTTCTTAGGTTCCTCGGACCCCCACCCCCTCCTCTTACAGCCCAATGACATTCCATCGCAGTCAGAGACCACAACCTACCCTATTCATGGGCACCCCTCGGTGCCAGGCCTTAACTGCCCATTTATTAAGCACCCCCTGTGTGCCAGGCACTGTGCCAAGCTTTGGGGTTACAGATATAAATGAAAACAAAGACAGCCCCTGGCTTCAAGGAACGTACACTCCAATGGGAAGACTACGCAGAGAAAAAGGACCTTGCATGATGGAGAGTGCCAAAGAAGCCCAAAACAGTGTAGTTGGTGGAAGGTTTGGAGAAAAAACGGCCCTTAGCCTCCCTCCTTGAGTAGAGGTGCCATAAAGGACTGCTTTAAATATTTTTGTTCCCATGAAATCTTTTCTACTTTCTTTTATCTCTTTAATATCTTCAGCTACAGAACTGATGTTGGCATTGTTGTGGCAAAGGGTGTGCCCAGTTAAATAATTTTTTGGCATGTTCTAAAATGCTTTCATAAGAGCTAGACCAGTACATAGTAACACCAACAGTATATTAATGTACTGCCAGCATTTGTCATTTTCTTTTTTGTCAACTTTGCCGGTCTGATGGGTGCGAAGTGGAACTTTAGAGTTGTTTTAATATGTATTCCTCTAATTATTAATGAGTTACAGCATTATATGGCTATTTGTTAGCTTGTATTTCTGACTGTGGAAAGCAACCTGTTCATATCCTTTGACCATGTACTGATTGGGGAATGGCTCTTATTCTTATAAATTTGAATCAGTTCCTTGTATATTTTAGAAATTAGATGTTTATTAGGCAAAACCCTCTCATTCCCCCCCCCCATCTTCTCTTTTAATTTTGGCTGCTTTGATTTTGTTTATGTAAAAAATTTTTTTTAAAAAAATAATCAAAATCATATATTTTACTTCCTGTGATTCTATTTCTTGTTTCATCATGAACTTTTACTTAATCCACAGATCTGAAAAATAATTTTTCCTTTTGCTACTTTAATTTGTTTATGATGTTACCCTTTATATTTAAGCCATGTGTCCGTTTGGAGCTTTTCTTGGTACACTTTGTGAGATGTTGGTCTATACCTAGTTTTTTCTAGACTGCTTTTCAGTTTTGCCAACAGTTTTTTTTGAATATTGAGTTCTTAATAACTGAGATCTTTGGTTTTGCAAAACACTAGGCTGCTGTGTTTGTTTGCTTCTAGAAGTTTATTGTATACCTGATCTGTTCCCCTGATTGACTTCTCTGTTTATTAACTATTGCTAAATTGTTTTGATGATTACTGATTTGTAGTATTGTTTGAGATCCAGTTCTGCTAAGCCCCTTCTTTCCCACTTTTTAAAAATTATTTTCTTTGAGATTCTAGACCTTTTGTTTCTCCAGATGAATTTTGTTATTATTTTTCATAGTTGTATAAAGTAATCCTTTGGTAATGTGATTCATATGGCACTGAATAAGTAAACTAATTTAGGTAATATTGCCACTTTTATTATATTGCCACCCATGAAGAATTAATATTTCTCTAATTATTTTGTATTTCTATTTGTATAAAGATTATTTTGAACTTGCGTTCATATGATTCCTATCAGGCAAGTAGTCTACCAAGTATTTAATACTTTCTGTAGTTGCTTTTAATGAAATTTCTCTTTTTATTATTTCTTGGTAGATTTTGTTGGTAATATGCAGATATTATGCTGATGATATAGGTGGGTTCATTCCATAACCTAAAATTTTGGTGAAGTTAATTGTTTCAGTTTTTAAAAGTTAATTATCTAGGGTTCTCTAAGTAAACTATCATATCATCTGCAATAAGTGAATTGTTTTATTTACTCTTGTCTATGTTTATTTCCTCAGTTTCTTTTTAAAAAATCATATCATTATAGCTAGCATGAAAATGGACATCCTTGCTTTACCCCTGATATTATTAGAAAGGCCTCTAGTTTATTCCCATTACAGATAATGCTGGCCTTTGGTTTTAGAAAGATACTATTTGTCAATTAAAGAAAGATCCATTTAGTTAGTCAATCAACATTGATTAAATGCCACTATATGCCAGATGCCGTGCTAAATGCTGGGGATTCAAATAAGGAAAAGAAAGACAGTCCCTGCCTTCATGGCTGCCTAGACTATTTCTTATAGTGTTAAGAGCCTGTTCTTAATGGTCTTGACCAGACTTCTGAGAAACTCTCCCCTGCACAGATGAGAATCCATCTAAAGGAAAAAATAATGCTAAGGTTTGTTAATAGCTTAAGTTTCTGAGTGAACCCTCTTTTACCAGAAGGAGACTTTGGGATTTTAATTCACCCAAGACAGGTACTTTCTTACTATTTCTTGAAGTTCCACAGATGTCATTTTTGTTCTGACCTTAAAAACTCATGTCCATAGCCTTTCCCTTTCATTCTAGTAGAAGGTAGGTCTGATCCTGACTTCCCTTTGATCTCTCTTTCTATAAGGACCCTGGGGATCACACCCAGGTGGTGTGTGGGAAATTCAATCCTAGTGGGTTTGGGAGTTAACAAGGCAGATTAGTCTCCCTTCTGACGTCTTTCTTGTCCTTCAGTTCTCGAGATTCTGCCCTTCCCCAAGAAAGAAGAATCAAAGAGAAAGAGGAAATGCCTTCTAGAACCTTAACAGCTAGACGTCAGGTGAGTTAGGATTTCATCTTTCTCTCTCTCTCTCTTTATTTCTTCCTTCTTTTGTATTCAGGATCATGTTTGCTGCATAGAATTTGTTATGGTGCCTATAATGATGCTTATTTAGAATAGGCATGATTATTTATTCATTAAAGTTTTGGTAGAAATTCACTTGGACCTGGAGGTTTCTTATTTTTCCTGTGGGAGTTCATTTCTTACTGTTCAATTTCTTTGAGTGCTTTATTTAGGTTGTCTGTTTCCTGTTTTTTTTTTTTTGTATTTACATTTTCTTAGTTGTTCATTTCATTTTTTAGTATTTTTGCAGTACAATTAAGTATGACACTTTCTGATGATTTTCTTTTTTATCTTTCCATTTGTTATAAATTCTCTCTTCACTTTTGGTTTTGTTAACTTGCTGTAAAGCACCAGGTAAAAGCCATCTCTAACAATGATAATTTATTAGTCATTATTAATAGCTGTTATTATATGATTATTCAGTTTTGGTTACTCTTTTTAGAAATGCTTCTTGGTTTTGCTTACTAGGTCCGTTGTTATTTTTTTCACATCTACACTTGTTCCTTATAGTTTCAAAGTACCTTCCTTTATGATTGTTTTGAGATTATTAATTTGTCAGTTTTCTAGTTTTTAAAACTGCACATTCAGTTCATTAGTTTTCTCTTTTTCTGTTTTGTTAATATAAATATTCAGGGTTATGAATTTTCCTCTGAAGACTCATTTAGGTATTTTGTTATGTTGTTTGGATATTATTACCTTTATTTTTTTTCTTGCTTCTATGAGTTAAGTCTTTGACCCACTAATTATTTAGTGTGATACTTTTTCAGTCTTCATTTACGTCTGTACTTTTTGTTCACATTTCCTTTATTGATTACAATTCTGTTGCATTATGGTTGATAAAGGATATACTTCAAGTCTGCCTCTTTTCATTTGTTATAAGTTCTTTATTATATAGGACATGGTCAGTTTTTGTACAGGTCCTATGAGAGCTTGAGAAACAAATGTATTCCTTATGATTCCCATTCAGAAGTCTCCATATAATTGAGCAATTCAGTTTTCCCCAAAATTTTGTTGCCAACTATGTTTTTTCTTTCTCATCTGATAAAAAAAATCATCACGTTAGTTATTTCTTATTTTGTTTTAAATGGATTAGTCTTATTCTTTGTCATAACACACACTTCTAGTACAGATAAAATTTATTTTACTGTGTAACAATCTTAATCTTAATGACAGATCTAACTGTGTCACTTCTCAACTCAAAAATCTTCAATGGCTCCCTGTTGTTTCCCGTTGCTCCCAAGATAAATATAAAATACCTAGTCTGGCACTTAGATTGCTTCATGGTTGGTTCCATTCTATTTTACAGTCTTATTTCATAAAATTCCCCTTTACACCCACTCCTTTCCTGTCATACTGACCTAATGCTGCCTGTATGTGTCGTTTCATCTTTCATTTCTGCCTTTGTATCGGTGATCCCTCATGCCTCACCTCTGTCTCATAGCGTACTTAAATTCTTTCATAATATTGCTTCCCACTCTTAGGAAATTGCCACTTACTACATGTAACCTTCCTTTCCTAATCTCCTGAATTGGTAGTTCTCACTGTCTCAAAATTACTTACTATTTTGCGTATACTTTGTATATATGGGATTTCCTCAGTAAAATGGAAGCTCTTTGAGGAACTGTTTGGTTTTGTCTTCATATTCTGGAGACTGGAACAGTGCCGTACTCATAGTAGGCACTTAAAAAACATATGTTAAGTTAAATTGCCTCCTCCCCCACCCACACTAAACACAAATTCCAGGATTCTGCTTTTACCTAAATTTTTTAAAAAATCATTCTTTGCATGGCCGAGAAGAGAGTGTGGTTTAGGAATATTCTGTGTCTGATTAATATTTACTTGTGGCATCCAATTTCTTTTTTATCTTTTCTTTTTTATTTTCTTTTGACATATTTTTCAGCTATATCACCTTCATTTCCAAACAAGTCCTCTTCTTGTCCCCAACTCATAGAACCATCCCTTGTCACAAAGAATAAAAAAAAGAAGAAGAAGAAAAAAAAGATTTAAGGAAATCCAGAGGACAGATCAGCTGAGTCTGACAGTGTGTATGGTGTTTTGCACCCATAGTCCCTCACTTCTGCAAAGATGAGAGGAAGATGCATTTGCCCATCTCTGTACCTTCTCACTCCCCTCCATAGAGAAGTGTGTGTTTACATTCATTTCATTCTAGTATCTTCCCTTTCTAAATTATTCCCTACTTATCCTATCTATAGCTTGTTTGAACATATGTTTGCTTATTGTTTCTTCTATTAGATTGTAAGCTCTTTGAGGGCAGAGACTGTCTTTTGTCTCTTTTTTTATTCCCAGCACTTAGCACAGTGAGTGGCATGTAGCAGATACTTAAAAGGTATTTACTGACTGGGGAGGGAGAGGTAGAAAACCTCACTCTTACACATGAGTGAAATACGTGATTCACTGTTCTCTCCAGTGGGAGGTGATTTGTAAGGTTGATTGAGCAGTAAAGTAAGCTTTTCTCTGGGATACCCAACCTAGTAGGAACTATGGTATGCAGGAAGTCCTCAAGAAATATTGGACTCGTGGCTTTCAGAACCCTGAAAGCCGTGAGAACCTTCCCCTTTGCCTTTTGACACCTTTATGCCTTCCTCATGTTTCCTTTGAGAGTCGGTCCTGAAGTGAGCAGGAGCATGTTTTGATATTTTAGATACTGACCTTCCAGGATGTGACAGTGGACTTCACCCGGGAGGAATGGAGGCTGCTGGGCCCTGCTCAGAAGGACCTATTTAGGAAAGTAATGCTGGAGAACTATGAGAATTTTGTCTTCTTGGGTAAGGATGGCTTTTTCTCCATGTCATCATCTTCTGTCGGCTTGTCTTTGCATTCTCATCTCCCATTGCCTGGGGGATTCCTGAAGTACCTGGCTGCTCTTTGACTTGTGCAGGGAAAGTCTCACAAATATAGGTCATGTGGAGGGATTCCTAAATTTCTTGACTCCCAGAGACACAATGGTTCTGCTCTCTCTTCTAAGCTGAAAGACCTTTCTTTTGCAGTTAGAAATCCACGCTTTATTGTGCTCCCCCAAAGGCTATGCCTTCCCTAATATTTGTTCATTCCAGTCAAAGGGTCTCCTGTAAAGACCCGCACTGTAGGTGATTGAAGATAAGAAAGGTCTCTGGCCTTTTAGCAGAAGATGTGTTAAGAAGAACTTATTTTCTTTGTTTTCATCCCATAGACGTCCTTTCTACCCCCATCTGGGTCTTGCAAGCACGCTCTGTTTCTTAAAAAGAAAGATGATAAGGTTGATGAGATATCTCTGAATTCAGCATTTTCCCATTTATTTCCCCATTAGTAGGAATGCCAGTTTTCAAACCCAGTGTGATCTCCAAACCGGAAAGAAGAGAAACATCATGGATGCGAGAGGAAGAAGCCGCTTTTTCTTTTGAAGGTGAGTGAGCGAAGAACAGAAAGGTAGGGCTTACTCTGGAGCAGCAGCTTAGCTGGGCAGTGTCAGCTGGCGGATCCCAGGCCTGTGGAGGAGTGTTGGGGCTGACCCACATGAGTCTTGTCCTGTATTCTCTGCTTTCATCAGAGTCAATCACTCCCTGATCCCCTCTCTTCATATCTTCCTCCAGCCTCAGAGAGAGCGCTGTTTCTTTGGTCTGATGCTCACTCTCTTTCCTGTGCTCCAGAGCGTGTTCTTTCCTCCTTCTTCCTCTGTTTATTTTCTCCTCTTCTTTCTTACTGCTCTCAGATATAGGTACATTTACCCTATGGTTAAAATAACAAAAAAGGCCCTTTCCTTGACTTTGTTTCCAGTTTTACTTAACTTGAAATTTCCTTTCTGTCATTCCGTTCAAGGCCAGACCTCAATCCCCACACCCAAAAATGCCATCTATGCTGCATCTCCATTTTCCCTGATCCCTTTCCCTACTGGAAGTGTTACAGCCTGCCACTGCTCTATGGAAAATGGTCTTTGTGGTATCTATGGAGTTCTATAGTAGTAGTGACAATTCATGTACATATAGAACTTTGTAGCTTACACCACGTAAGGTGAATCACGCACTGACCTTCCATTTTGCAGCAGAGGAGGCTGAGGCTCAGGAGCTTTTGTCTTGTCCTGGCTGGTTAGAATCATAATGAGGCTTCAGACTGAGGCTCTGTCTAGTCCATGGCTTTTCTCACTCCTGCTGTTGCTTCTCTTCTTCTGTCTTCTAAAGGTTTTCTCTCACATCCTCCTCTTGGCTTACCTCTGCAGCATTTCACTTATTGACACTTTCTGGGATTCTCAGTCTAGTTTAGGTTGGACTTGATGGCCTCTGGGTGCCTTCTGACTCTGGTTTTCTGTGATTGACAATTCTGTGATGTGACAGTATTCCACAACTGGAATATTGTGTTCAGTTCTGGACGCTCCATTGTAGGAAGAACACTGACAAGGTGGAGCATAGTCAGAGGAAGGAAACCAGGAAATCATATGTGGAAGGATAGGAGACCATGCTTGTCCCAATGTACTATAGCTCCTTAGAGGTCTTCATAGAAGCAGCAGATAGGCCAGTAATTCAGAAAGCAAGAGGCCTCTATGATGGGTACATTTTAGTGTGCCCAAGAGAGGGCATTTGGCCTATCTGGAAATATCCAGGAGCATTGGGAGGCAAAGGGATTGGGCTGGGAGGGACAAGTGGATAGGGGTCAAGGCAGAAGATAATTTGAATAGTAGTCAAGAGAGAGAAGCTATAACTGTTACAGTGGAAGGGGCAGGATGTATAAGGATCGCAGTCACTGGACACACTGGGATACTCAACAAAGGGTTGTCACTAGGACTTGATTGCCATGCTTTTAAGACAACAGATGGGGGGGAATGGCATTTGTAGTTCGGTGACAGGTTTCCCTGCATTCCTTGCACTCCCAGGATATACCAGGCTCTGTTTATTCCCCTTTCAGTGTGGAACTGTCTGAGATCTGTTCTTGTACATTAGGGCAGCTCAGTGGTGAAAATTACGGCCAGGGGTTTCATAGGAAGAGGTAGGCTCTTGTTCCGAACTGACTTCTCAAATCATGGGCAGATTCCAACATGGAAGATTCCAGGTATTGATCATTTTAGAAAAGGGAGAGATTGCCAGGCAGGAGGAGGGGACATGGCTAAAGCAAAGAGCCTGCTGCAAAAAAGACAACCTTCCTCAATTCTCTCCTCCCCCCAAAAACCAAAAAAACCAAAACAACCCTGACAGAATTTTGGACTGCCAAAATGTGATACAAGAATTAATTGAAGGAAATGGCAGTGTCTAGCTTGGAGAAGAGAAGACTTTAGAGGTGAAAGGACAGCTGTCTAAATATTTGAAGGCCTATCATGTGAAAGTAGGATCAAACTCTTTCTGCTTGACCTCAGAGTGCAGACCTATAAAGAATATGGAGATCTATAGCCTTCCTGGGTCATTTAACCTGGATGTGGCTGAGAATATCTCAAGACTTGTCAAGCCTGTTAATGACGGTCAGCTTCTGGTGACAGCCAAGAAATAGCCGGCCTTGAAAAGTGGCAGATTCTCCCTCACCAGAAATCAGACGACCAGCTTGTCAGTTGGTACTGTTGGTACGTGTGCATGTCCACAATGGTCCTTGACCATTGCAATATTTCCAGAACCACAATCATTATCTTTTTCCAAAATAGCATTCTTCTTTCCCTACTTTCTCCCTTTCTGACCATGTTGTGAAAGAAGAAGAAGAAGAAGAAGAAGAAGAAGAACAAGAAGAAACAGAACAAAAGGGAAAAACCACAAGAAAGAAAAAACAAAAACAACAACAAAAAAGAGAAAGTAGTATGCTTTTATCTGCATTCAGACTCCATAGTTCTTTCTCTGGATGTGGATAACATTTTCCATCATGAGTCCCTTGGAATTATCTTAGACCATTGCATTTCTGAGAAGAGCTAAGTCTATCCAAGTTGGTCATCATCGCAAAATGTTGCAGTTACTGTGTACAGTGTTCTCCAGGTTCAGTTCACTTCACTCAGCATCAGTTCATGTAAGTCTTTCGAGGTTTTTCTGGTCTGCTTGCTCATCATTTCTTATAGAACAATAATGAGAATTACATTTCTAAATTCGAATCTCTTGTCTTATACATTTATTGGCTCACCACTTCCATAATTGCACTTGTATATAGGGATAGGAGAACCAAAATAAGAAACCCATCAAGAGGATCATATATTTTAAATTTTAAATTTCAATAATAAATTATTTTCAGTTCCAAACTCTTTCCTTCCCTCATACTGACTGAGAAGGTGAGAAGTACAAAACCTGTTATAATTATGTATGGTCATGCAAAACAAATTTCTGCAGTAGCTCTGTTTCCAGAAGAAGAAGAAGAAGAAGAAGAAGAAGAAGAAGAAGAAGAAGAAGAAGAAGAAGAAGAAGAAAGAAGAAGAAGAAGAAGAAGGACAAGAAGAAGAAGAAGAAGGACAACAAGAAGAATTAATAATAGTAATAATAATAAGGAAAAAATATACTTTGTTCTGCATTCTGAGTCCATCCATTTTCTTTCTGGAGGTGGACAGCATTTTTCATCATAAGTCCTTTGAAACTGTGGTGGGTTCTTGTGTTGATCAAAGTTAATAAGTCTTTCATAGTTGATTATCTTTACAATATTGCTATAACTGGGTAAATTGTTCTTCTGGTTTTACTTTCTTCACTTTGCATCAGCTCATAAGTATTCCCAGCAGTGCTCCAGATATGATTTGGCCAGGGTGGTGTTCCTTGAAATAATAATCATCTACTTTACTTTGAATACTGAGCATCCTAAGATCACGTTCTATCATAGCACTCTGTTGACTTCCTACTGAGTCCATCAAAACTCACAGGTCTTTTTCAGTGAAATTCTCTGGGGCATCCATATCTCCTTCAGTTTATTGTTGTTTGTTGATGTTTGAAACCAGGACTTTACATTTATTTTTAATTAATTTAAGCTCCTTCAGTTGAGTTCGGGATTCTACCCTGTCCTTTTGGGATCCTAACTGTCATTCATCATGTTAGGTACTCCTCCTAGCTTCGGCTTATCCCCATATTTGATAAATATGTCATTTATGCTTTTATTCATGGCATTGATTGAAATAGATCCTAGGACAGTCCATTAGAAAACACTCTCCAAGTTGATATGAAGACATTAATGACTTCCCTTTGGGTCTTGGCATTTAACCAGTTCCAAGTCTACCTTAACTATACTATTGTTTAATCATTATCTCTCCTTGTCTGCATAGATTTCATTAGAATAGCAAAAACAAAATCTTATTATTGGTCCAAATTAAACTTATGGTCAGCTAAAATCCCTAGGTCTTCCAACATGATCTACTACCCAGCCAAGTTTCTCTAATCCCATATTTATAGCTGATGTCCTAATTGCAGGAATTACATTTATATTTATTAAATTGCATGTTGTTTATTCCTGCCCATTCTTCTATCCTTTTTTTTAAAATTCTGATTTGTTCATCCAATATATTAGTTCTCTCACATACTTCTGTGTCATCAGCAGTATTAGGAAGAGTGCTGTCTATGATTTTATCAGAACTGTTTATAAACATGTTGAGTGAGACTGGGCCAAATATAGAGCTCAAAGATATGAAACTAGAGAATATTCTCCATGTTGGCAACAGCTCCTTATTCAGTACTCTTTTGGGATGAGGTTACTTGAGCTTTTATAAATCTATTGACCTGTACTCTCCAATCTGTATTTCTTCATCTTGTTGACAAAGACAACTTAAGAGATTTTGCCAAATAGCTTATTAAAGACTAGATATCCAAATTTGTAGCATCCTTTTATCTACCAGTCCAGAAGTCTTATAAGTAAAGGAAATGAGATTGATTTTATATAATCTCTTTTTATGGAATTGTTACTGGATTTTAGAGATCAGTACTTTGTTTTCTAAGTGCTTACAATTCATTCTCTATGTTCATGAATTTTGCTAGATGTTATCTTCAAGCTTTTCATGCTATAATTTCCGGAATTAAACTGTTTCCCCTTTCTGCTCCTTGTGACCTTTTCCCAAGAATTGCCTGAGAATTGCTACTCTGATGACATCTACAAATATTTTCAATCCTCTGGAATGTAATTCACTAAATCCTGAATAGCTAGTTCTTTTACTGCTTCTTTACCTGTGTTAACCTTCAAATCCCTCTTAACATTTACCTTTTCCAGTTCACTCTCTTCTTTGAAAGAGAAGACAGAATCTAGAATAAAACACTTTGATTTCTCCTAGCACAGGAAACAATAGATAATAAATACTTTTTTGTTGATTTCAGATTCCCTTATTCAGAAGACAAGATCTGAAACCAAGAAGTCAACTCCAAAGCAGGATATCTGTAGAGAAAGATCTTCCAAAGAGAGACTTAAAAAGGATGGTCCTTGGGATTCCAGGTTGGGAGAAGCATGGGATCATGATGTCTGGTTAGAAAGGCAAAGGGGAAAACAAGAGAGGCAATCTAGGCAGGTAGCAGCAACTCATAAATGGAATATATTTGGGAGGCAGCTTGTTTTGGGGGCAATCCTTATTGAAAACCAGAGAGTTCCTACAGGAGGAAGTGTCCCTAAGTCTGATACAGTTGGAAAGAGTTTCAAACAGTTTTCAGGCCAAATCAAACATAATAGAACTGCCTCAGTGAAAAAACGTAGTAAGCGTAGTAAATACAGGAAGCCTTTCAGTTATCAGTCAAACATTATTCATTACCATAGAACAAATACTCATAATAATAATGAGCGTAGTGAATCTGGCAAAACTTTCAGGAATATCTCATGCTTTCCTATACGTCGAAGCAGTCATACAAGAGAAAAACCATATAGATGTAATGAATGTGGGGAAAACTTCAGCCAGAAAGGAAACCTTAATGCTCATAAAGAAACTCATACTGGAGAGAAACATTTCGAATGTCATGCATGTGGAAGAGCGTTCAGATACCATTCGTATCTTGTACAGCATCAAATAATCCATACTGGAGAGAAACCCTACATATGTAATCAATGTGGAAGAGCGTTCAACCGGAAAGGAAGCCTAAGTAGACATAAAATGACTCATACTGGAGAGAAACACTTTGAATGTAATGAATGTGGAGAAGGCTTCAGGTATAGATCATTCCTTGTGCAACATCAGAGAATTCATACTGGTGAGACACCCTATAAATGCAGTGAATGTGAGAAAACCTTCAGCCAGAGGCAAAGCCTTAAAATACATGAAATAATTCATCCTGGTGAGAAACCGTTTAAATGCAGTGAATGTAGAAAAGCCTTTATCCTGAAGGGAGATCTTATTAAACATATGAGAATTCATACTGGAGAGAAACCCTACAAATGTAGTGAATGTGAAAAAACTTTCAGCTTGAGGGGATGTCTTCGGGCACATAAGAGAATTCACACAGGAGAGAAACCCTATAAATGTAATGAATGTGGGAAAGCCTTTAGGCAGGGGGGAGGTCTTAGTGCACATAAGAGAATTCATACTGGAGAAAAACCTTTTAAATGTAATGAATGTGGAAAAGCCTTTAGCCAGAAAGGAAACCTTAAAACACATAAGAAAATTCATGTGGGTGAGACACCCTTTGAAAAGAATGAATGTGAAAAATTCTTCAACAGAAAGGAGAACCTCAACAGAAGTAAAATTAGTCACACTGGAGAGAAACCCTTTGCATGTAAGGAATGTGACAAAAGCTTTAAGTACAGCATATTCCTGGTAGAACATCAGAGAGTTCATACTGATGAGACACCCTATAGGTGCGATGAATGTGGGAAAACTTTCAGCCAGAAGAGACGCCTTAGGACACATCAAACAATTCATCATAGTGAGAAACTCTTTAAGTGCACTGAATGTGGAAAAGCCTTCAGCATGAAGGGAGATCTTAATAAACATATTAGAATTCATACTGGAGAGAAACCCTATAAATGTAATGAATGTGAAAAGGCCTTCAGCCAGAGAGGAGGACTTTATACACATAAAAGAATTCATACTGGAGAGAAACCCTATACATGTAATGAATGTGGAAGAACCTTCAGGCAGAGGGGAGGTCTTACTGCACATAAGAGAATTCATACTGGAGAGAAACCCTTTAAATGTAGTGAGTGTGGAAAAGCCTTCAGCCAGAAGGGAAATCTTAAAACACATAAGAGAATTCATACAAGTGAGTTGCCCTTTGAATTTAATAAATGTGAGGAAAGTGTTTGCCAATAGTCCAGGCCTAATGACATCAGATTATTTGTGCTCAAGAGAAACACTGTCGGTATAATGCATGTGAGAAAGCTTTGAGTCAGAGGAGATGGCTTAAGGAACGTAGGATAATTCCTACGGAAGAGAAATCTTTTCAGTGTAATCAGTGTGAGAAAGCTTTCAAATGGGGTAGAAACTTCATGCAGTATTAGGGAATTAATGCTGTGGAGAAACCTTCTGAATGTAATGAAGGTGGAAGATCTAACGATTATAGCTAATAAAATTCATGGTGGAGAAAACTATTGACTATCAAGAATATGTGGGAGGATTCAGGCACAGCTCACCACTAAGCAAACAGAGGATCCATAGTGAAGAAAAAGCCTTTCAGGGTAATGACCATGGGAAAATTGTCAACTGAAGTAGTGATTTGAAGCGTTATAAGAGGTTTTATTCACCAATTGATTTGAATATTCAGTGCTATACCAATCAACCAACCGAAGGATTATTTATAGGACCAACTAGAAAAAATGATAAAATTCATACAGAGACAAAAAAGATCAAGAATTTCAAGAGAAATAATGAAAAGAAATGGCAATGAAGGGGGCTTAGCAGTGTCAGGTCTCAGATGAATACTATAAAGTAATAGTTCTCAATAATTTAGACCAAAAAAATAGACGAAACAGTGGCACAGATTAGATACACACCATACAGAAACAAGTGTAAGTAGTATTGTCATATTTGATAAGCAGAAAGACCCCAGCTACTGGGATAAAGTACTCACAATTTGTCAAAAACTACCAGGACAGCAGTATGGAAGAAACTAGATTTAGAACAACACCTCACAGCTTATACAACTTAGACAAAGATAAATTTCAAATAGGTACATGGTCCAGTATAAAAAGTTACATCATAAACAAGAGAAACATGAAAAAAAATTACTTATCAGGTCTATGTATAGGAAAAAAGTTCATGATCTAATATGGAATAGAGTATCACAGAAGATAAAATGGAAATTTCTGATTACATAAAAAAAAAGTTTTTGCACAAACAAATCCAACCAAGTTAAGATTGAAAGGGAAACACCTAACTGGAGGGAAAAAACCCCAAAACATCTTTATATCAAATTTCTCTGATAAAGGCCTCTTTTTTATTAATTTATTTTTAGTTTTCAATAATCACTTCTATATGCTTTTGAGTTTAAAATTTTTCTCCTCCTTCCTTCTCTCCTCCCTCCCCAAGACAGTGTTGCAATCTGATATAGGCTCTACATATACATTTCTATTAAACATATTTTCACATTAGTGATGTTGTAAGGAAGAATTAGAACCAATAGGAGGAACCACAAGAAAGAGGAAACCAAAAAAAAAAAATAGAAGAAAAAAAGAGCAAATAGTGTGCTTCGATTTGCATCCAGACTCCATAGTTCTTTCTCTGGATGTGGATAGCATTTTCCATCATGAGAGTTTTAGAGATGTCTTAGATCCTTGCATTGCTGAGAAGAGCTAAGTCTATCAATAATAGTCATCATACAACGTGGCTGTTACTGTGTACAATGTTCTCCTGGTTCTGCTCATTTCACTCAGCATCAGTCCATACAAGTCCTTCCAGGTTTTTCTGAAGTCTGCTTGCTCATCATTTCTTATAGCACAGTAGTATTTCATTACATTCATATACCATGACTTGTTCAGCCATTCCCCAATTGATGGACATCCCCTTAATTTCCAGTTCTTTGCCACCACAGAAAGAGCTGCTCTAAATATTTGTGTACATGTAGGTCCTTTTCCCATTTGTATGATCTCTTTGAGATATAGCCCCAGAAGTGCTATTGCTAGATCAATGGGTATGCACATTTTTATAGCCCTTTGGGCATAGTTCTAAATTGCTCTCTAGAATGGTTGGATCATTTCACAACTCCACCAACAATGCATTAGTGTTCCAATTTTCCCACATCTTCTCCAACATTTATCACTTTCCTGTTTTGTCGTGTTGGCCAATCTGATAGGTGTGATGTGGTACCTCAGAGTTGTTTTGATTTGCATTTCTCCAATCAATAATGATTTAGAGCATTTTTTTTATATGACTATAGATGGCTTTAATTTCTTCATCTGAAAACTGCCTGGTAAAGGCCTCTTTTCCAAGGTATAAGGAACTGACTCAAATTTATAAGAATAGGAGCCATTTCCCAATTGAGAAATGGTCTAAGGATATGAACAGGCATTTCTCAAAGGAAGACATTCAAGCTGTCTTTTTCCATTTGAAAAAAAAATACTCCAAATCACTATTAATTAGAGAAATGGAAATTAAAGCAATTTTGAGATTCTATCTCACACCTATCAGAGGGGCAAAGATGACAAAAAAGGGAAATGATAAATATTGGAGGGGCTCTGAGAAAACAGGAATATTGATATGTTTTTGGACCTGTGAATGGGTGTAATTACTTGGCAAGCAATTTTTAATTTATACACAAGATGTTAGTAAATTGTGTGTACCTTTTAATACAGCTATACCATTGTTAGGTCTATATGGAAAAGTTCAAAGAAAGGAAAAAATCCTATGTGAACAAAAATGTTTATAACACCTCTCTCTCTCTCTCTCTCTCTCTCTCTCTCTGTAAATACCTGTAACTAAGGGGATGCTCATGAATTGATAAATGGTTGAATGAGTTGTGGTGTAGAAATGTGGTAGAATACTGTTGTGCTGTAATAAATGAAGAAATTTATGATTTCAAAGAGACATAGAAAAGCTTATGTGAACTAGTGCAGAGTGAAGTGAGCAGAACCAGAATAATTTGTGCTCTAACATTAATGTTATAAAAGTGAGCAATTTTGAAGATTTTTATAAACTGATGAAGAATGAAGTGAGCAGAATCAGAAGTTTATACAATATCCACATTGTGAAGACAAACAACTTTAAGAGCTATAAGAACTATGTCAATACCTGACCATTCATGATTCCAGAAGACATATTATAAAACATGTTATCAACTTTCAGACAGAGAGGTGATGGATTTAGGGTGCAGAATGTGATTTTTTTTGTAATGCAGACAGTGAGGGAATTTGTTTTGCTTAATTATGAATTTTTGTTATAAGGTATTTGTTTCTCTCTTGAGGTCGGTAGGAGATGGAAAAGAGAAAATAGATCTTTATTAATTTAAAAAATGAAAAAATAGAGATTTGAGTGATGCTACAGATGTGGAATATTGTATTCACTTTCAGATGAGGTCACTCATTATTCGTTTTCCTAAATTGTTTTACTATATTAGAAGAGACCTCATTGAATGAGAGTCATCTGTAAATATGTTAAATGTAAAAACAAAACATCAATAACATTTTAAAAAACTGAAAACAAAACATTAAAGAATATGAGTTGGTTCATACTGGAGAGAAATTCTTTAAATGTAATAAATATTGGAAGTCTTTCAGTCTGAAATAAAGCTTTGATAGACACACACACACATACATGTATGGAAGAGAGAATTTATGAATATTATTTAGTATTTGGAAAGCTCTTGACTCAAAAGAATCTATAAAACATCTTTTACTTCCTAGGATCATGCTAGAAGGAACCTTAGAGATTGAGTTCAACGTCCTTATTTTACAAGTGAGGAAACAGGCCTAGAGAAGTAAAGGGACTGGACAGTAATGTCTAAGGTAGGAATCAAAACCAGGCCTTCCTAATTCCAAGTTCCATGTCCTCTGTTTCTTTGGTCTTAAATTCTTTCCTTCTCCACAGATCTGATGATTGAACTGGTCGTTGCTGTCCTAATTGACATGAGCATTTTATTAAGCAATGTGCTACGTGCCAGGCACTGTGCTAAGTACTTCACAAATATTATCTCATTTGATCCTCATAACAACCCAGCAAGGTGGGTGCTATTATTATCCCCATTTTGTAGTTGAGGAAACTGAGACAGACAGAAATTAAGTGACTTATTCAGGACCACACAGGTAGGAAGTCTCGGAGGCCAGATTTGTATGCAAGTCTTCCCGACTCCAGGGCTAGTGCTCCATACATACGTATAATAGATGTATTGCTTGCCTTCTCAAGAATGGATTGAGGGAAGGAGAGAATTCGGAACTCAAAATTTAAAAAAAATGAATGTTAGAAATAAATAGTGAAGGAGTTTCTGACAGAGGTGAGTCATTGGACTTGTACTTCTTCATTAAATAAAGTTCAATAGGTCAATCAATAGCATCAGTACGAAGCACTGCTGTGCTCACTAGGGCTGGGTGAGAACCTCTTCTTCCTCTCGCCTTCTCGACTAAAATACAAGTGAATTGGACTTAAGTGAGGCAGGGCTGTGCAAAGTCATCAGCCTCACTCTCTCCTCCAGAGCCATCTGGGTCCAGTAGCAAGACATAGATCAGAATGACTGGAGATGGCCTCAGATGCAGTGGGAGACCTTGGCCTTTTTAAGCTAAGGTCTTTCGCAGGTACCATTTTGTCTGACACAACACCCATTCAGTGGTTTAAGGCTAAGTAAGATTTGAGGTAAAAGATGATTTACTTTGCCATCATAAAAGATTCAGTCAGGGAGGGGAAGACCCTCAAAATTTCTGGCCAGAACAGAAACAATTGCTATTTATGCTTGCTCTGAGCCTTCAAAGCCCAGACGATAACCAACAGAGGCTTGGGCTGGGACTTATTGGCCAATCCTGAGAGCCAGAGTGATTTGGATTTAAAGCATACTCAGGTAGCTCCATTTTAATTCCAATGGGTTTTACCAAAGCCTGGTTTTTCCAGAGCTCTATTTCTTTTTTTTTTCTTTTTAGACTCTTATTGAGTCTAATCTTTAATTGATTAGATTTTCCCCCCCCCAACTTAATGGTATTTTATTTTTTCCAATTACATTCAAAGATAGTTTTCAACATTCACTTTTTTTTCCCTTTTAGCTAGGCAATGGGGTTAAGTGACTTGCCCAGGGTCACACAGCTAGTATGTGTTATGTGTCTGAGGCCAGATTTGAACTCAGGTCCTCCTGAATCCAGGGCTGGTGCTCTATCCACTGCGCCATCTAGCTGCCCCTTTCAACATTCACTTTTACAAGATTTTTAGTTCCAAATTTTTTTCCTTCTCCCTCCTTTGCCCCCTCTCCAAGATGGCATGCAATCTGATATAGGCTATATATGTACAATCCTATGAGACATATTTCCACATTATTCATGTTGTGAAGGAAGAATCAGAATAAAGGGGGGAAACCACAAGAAAGAAAAAAAAAGAAAATAGTATGCTTCTATATGCATTCTGACTCCATAGTTCTTTCTCTGGATGTGGGTAGCATTTTCTATCATGAGTCTTCTGGAACTGTCTTAGATCCTTGCATTGCTGAGAAGAGCTAAGTCTATCAAAGTTGATCATTGTCCAGTGTTGCTGTTACTGTGTACAATGTTTTTCTGGTTCTGCTCACTTCATTCAGCATCATTTCATGCAAGTCCAGGTTTTTCTAAAATCTACCTGCTCATCATTTCTTATGGAACAATAGTATTCCATTACATTCATATACCACAACTTGTTCAGCCATTCCCCAATTGATGGACATCCTCTCAATTTCCAATTCTTTGCCACCCCAAAAAGAGCTGCTATAAATATTTTTGTACATGTGAGTCCTTTTCCCTTTTTAGTGATCTCTTTGGGATACAGACATAGTAATGGTATTGCTGGATCAAAGAGTATGCATAGTTTTTTAGCCCTTTGAGTATAATTCCAAATTACTCCAGAATCCTGTTTTCAAAAAACCACTTTCCATTGGGCAGAGCACCCACATGTGAAAAGAGGAAGGAAGGAAGAAAGTGAGGGAAGAAGGAAGGAAGGAAAGGAGGAAGGGAGCATCATTGCCCAACTGGAACTGGCCAGTTGGGTCCCCAGTGGGGCAGCTATTACTACTCAGATTGTTGTTCATCCTTCATTCTTGAAGAGACCAATGACATTAAAAAGATGTCTTGACTTTCAAGTGGGTTGGATTTAAGTGAGGCAGGGCTGTGCAAACTCACCAGCCCCACTCTCTCCTTCAGACCTATCTGGGTCCAGTGGCAAGACATAGAACAGGATGACTGGAGATGCCCTCTACCTGGCTTCTAGTAAGTATTTGAATGCTTGTTGACTAACAGTGAACTATCCAGAAATGGGAAAGAGCTTAGTGTATCTAATATGGACCCTGAAT